GTGCCTGCCTAGTGAATCGATTTGTGTGTGTATGTGTGTGTAAATGTATGTGTGTTTACTGTCGGAATTTGTAATGAAAGTGAGCTGTTCATTTGCTTTAGGGTCGCCAAGTGGCCGACGTCTATTTAACTTTCCCCTCCCTTCTTCTTCCTGTTGCTATACTAAACATGAATGTGCCCAGACCAATAGCTACATACATACAGACGTACTTATATCTATGTACACGATGCTAAGATAATGCTGGCCTGACTTTTTAATGGAGCTTATTGGAATACAAAAACCTAAAACTCACTTACCGAGATGACTAAAAGTTTTCTCTATGTTTATGCAAACGCAAGCAGAAAAGCGAAAAAGGATATGGCCTTCCTCCATAAATATTTTGAACTTTTTGTTGTTTGTTGGTTTTGAGGGTTTTCCTTTTATTCAAGGTACATGAGACGGAGAAAAGGCGCAACAAATTGAGTGTCTTCGAAGGAGAAAACGAAATAAGCAGTCAAAAGAGAGGATAAACTGAATAACTGAGTTGATATTCTAATTGTGAGCTGACAAATGCGACAACAAAGAGCAGGCGAAACGAAAACGAAAACCCAAACGCAAACGCAAACGCGAACGCAACACAAAAGTAAAGACAAAACGCTCACGAGGGCCATGGCAATAATGATAACTAACCGCAAAGAGCGCCGCCAGTGACAGCCGTGGCAGAGCCGTCAACAGCAATGGCAAACAACATGTCAGAGCAAGATGGCAACATCATCATCATCAGCAGCAGCAGCAGCAGCAGCAGCAGCTTCCGTCTCACGTCTGGCGGCTGGCAGCTTGGCCTACATAACAAAAACAGTTGCAGCTCCATTGTTACGAGCACATCTTAGGGTTGAGAGCAAGTCACGCAGGCCTGAGAGTGCGAGAGTAGGTGAGAAGGGGAGACGAAGGGAACGACGCAATAAAGGGTCTCTTGTTTTGTTATGTGCACATGTCTTTTAGACTGCTGCTATGTGTGTTCTTGTTGCTTTTCATTGCCACTCGAGTCATTTTTAACGGTTTGACAGAGGCGCCCGCAAATCCTTTTAATTTGCTTAGCCCTCCCTCCGCATTTAGTCTGCATCCCAAGTGGCGCACTTCAATGTCTCTTACTTGGAAAAACAAGCGCAATTTCCTTTCAATTTCCTTTCCTTTCCTTTTCCTCTAGAAAGCAACAGCAAATTGCTATAACAAGCATCTAATGCAAATTTCTTCTGCTGCCTCTGTCGACCGTTGGTCAATGTTTACCAAACAATTATTTCCTCAACAACAACAAGAACATTACCCGATTTCATTGGCTACTTTTCTATTCAGTCTCACTTCGTAAGGCAGTTCAATGTTAACGACTTGTTCTCATGCGTTTATTGTTTTCTTCTTTCATCTACACTTTATTTGCATAATACGATGTCTGTCTAGTCGTAAAAATAATTTTGAAATATCATGAGTCACTGAGAGGCATTGAATAAAATAGATGATACAAAGAATTCAAGTTTTGTTTCTCGGCGATCACTGATCAGTTGGGTTCCATGGTGTAATGGTTAGCACTCAGGACTCTGAATCCTGCGATCCGAGTTCAAATCTCGGTGGAACCTAGGATCAGTGTATTATATTTAGCTTTTATTATTATTTTTTTAATTTAAAATCAATATGACTATTGACATTTATTTAGTAATCTGCTTAATTTGTATAGTAAACACATATATTTTATATGTCGTATAGAAACCAAGCCGTACACGAAATTAAATAAATGCATCTTATTAAATTGTTCTTAAACTTCATACACGAAATTGTTTCGATTTTCGTAGAACTAATAAAAAAACTAATGAAATGTATCTATTTGTATATACATGTGTACATATCATTGTTTTTTATCTATGTAAATATGTTTGAACACGCCTTAGTCAGAATGATGGCGTTCAGGGTATAAAAATAAGTATGCTTTAAATAATAATTGCCGACGAGTATTAGATTTTAAATTTAATATATAAGTAAGTAAATATATAATATAAAGAATAATAATGATGATGTATATTATATTGAGAAATCACAAATATTTTATTTGGCAAAAAAAAAAATGGATAAAACAACAATACAGAAAAGTTAAGCATACAACAAAAACCAAAACTCAGAAACTTGGCGCGAAATTCGATTGGTTGCAAATTCTTATTGGTTCGAGAGGCGACCCCTCTCAGCCCACTACCCACAACCCACGTGCAGCGCGAATTAGGTTAGGGCAGGAATACATTAGTTTTCACAAAATTCATGACATGAATTCAACATAAAGCAGTTACGAAAGATTGTCAATGAGCCACACTCTCAGCTTTTATGAGCATATCAATATTTTGTAAGATCCATATTTATGTCCGATGATATCGCTATTAATGCCTTGTATTATTTTTGTATACTATTATTTTATTTTATTTTTGACTAGTAAAGAAAAATTCACGACTCGCGGCGTTTTGATGCGCAACAAACCAACCAGTGGGCTCCGACGTATAACGAAAACTGTGCGTTTAAGGACATTTACGATTGATTTTATACCGAAAACACGACTGGCCACTTTCTCCGAATTCTGTATTGCCTTTGGGCATGTTATTGTTGTTGGTCTGGTTTTGCTTTTGTTGCTCTGACATAGAAAACTTCGTTTTGTGAATGAGCCGAGCGGACGAAAAGCCGAGCCGTCCAGCTGCCGAGCAACCTAGCTGTGATTCGGAGTAAAAAGCTTGTCAGACCGGGGCTTGCGTATTCCAGCAGGTTGTTTTTTGTTTCGCACACTTATTAAATCAGTAACGCTATGTATGACTTTTAGCTAATAGCTAATAGGACTCACTGTATTAAAGCCTGATTTGATTTACAAGCATTTTGTACAGATCGCCAATAATGTAATATGATTTAATTTCACACTTACAAAAACTCCTATTAAAAATTAATTATACCACAATTTGGTCTATTTTCGTTCGCTCGAAAACCATTTTAAGATTTACCACTTTGGGAAATCTGCTTAAGTTCTCTAGCATCTCACTTAGCTTCTTAAATAGTTTTTATTCACATTCACAGTACCCAAAAATTTTTTAATAAATATTGTCAGCAGTAACATAGAGGAAACATTTCCTATAATGAATAAATATTATACGTTATAAATACGAAGTTCTTTCTTTGCAATTTATGAATTGAGAGGATATATTGAAAATTAAGGATAATTTAAGTGAACCGATCGTTTTGACGATAGATAAAATTTTTAATATTGAACATTGCAAACCAATCACAGAACATTCAAAACAGAGCAAATGAAAGGAAAACTAGATTTATAAATAAAAGATTGTTGAAAGTTTTTGTGTAAAACTGATCGTCAACACTGCAAAATACCTCACTAAAGCAAAACTGATTATTGGCAAATTCGACGCAGTGGTTCCATGGTGTAATGGTTAGCACTCAGGACTCTGAATCCTGCGATCCGAGTTCAAATCTCGGTGGAACCTGGACTATATCAGTCTAATTTTTGTATTATTTATTTTTTATTTTAATATAATATTTATAAGAGTGCATCTTGCTCAATGCTTGGCATCACATATCACACGTGGATAAATTCCACAATCACAAATCGCAGCACTAACTTAAACGAACACTACATAAAATAGTTCTGACGGTAAATTGACTTGCAGAGTCTTGCACTTACCCTTATCTGGGAACAGTCTCCGGTATGCAAGCCATTCGTCGGCTGTAAAGCTGGATGGATGCTCGTGTCTTGTGTAGAGATGCAGCCAGTCCGGATACGAGGACCAAATCAATAAAACAATCTTTACCAATGAAATGGTAAACATTAAACTCAACACTATTGCAATCAACACTTTCAGCGAGCCTTTTAACATAATAAACAAATACACAAGTACACCACTCTTGCATGGAAGCCAATGCGTTGCTCTTTTCCTTAGAAGTCTCCTCCAAAGCACTTGCAATTCATTTTGATTAATATTTAATACTTATACATTGGCATTCAGAGCAGCAGTGTAAGCAACGCAAATAACGCAGGGCATGTAACTTCGAACTTATTTACTTTTTAATTATTATAAGAGAAAGCGTGTTTATCATTCTAGCAGCTTTTAATTAGTTGTTTGGCATCATATTTAAGTTTTAAAACACAAAAACGAGAAACGGCAAAGAACACAACAGACTTTTATTTTTGTGTGTGCGTTTGCGTTTTTGTTGAACAGCTGATGCGCAAGGCTACCAGAAAAGCATGCACAACAGTCTGGCATCCCTGTTAACCGATACAACAACCACTTGAGTCAACAAAAGTTTTAATTTTGCATGAATTGGTTATTAGATCAATAAGATTTTGTGAACTGAATTAACTGAGTTGACTGATCTTTACAGATATTTTATTATAAAAGATAATAAATAAATAATAATTAAAAAAAAAAAAACAAAATAAACTAAGGTTCCACCGAGATTTGAACTCGGATCGCAGGATTCAGAGTCCTGAGTGCTAACCATTACACCATGGAACCACATGTGGGTCCTATGAAAAATTATGTATAAGAAATGTGCTTTCTTTGTAAGCTCAAGTTCACTACCTATTTAGAAATGTAAAATTTTATATACCCAAAAAAATTGAAAGATCTGCAGAAAAAATGTTTTCCTCTATCTTTGGATTTAAACTCATATTTTCTTTAAATAATAATAATATAAAAAATGCAACTCGAATCAGGTTCCACCGAGATTTGAACTCGGATCGCAGGATTCAGAGTCCTGAGTGCTAACCATTACACCATGGAACCACCAATGAATTTTCTGTCAAGTGTTGTATAGTATTTAACTTATCACAACATTGCTATTAAAGCTGTTCATTGAAGTGATGCACGCATAGAAGCTGCTTTGTACGACACTCATCAATCTCAGAAATGCTCAATAAACTTTTAAGATTCAAAACAATAAAATAGTTATCGCTGCGTTTTTTTAGACGAATATTCTTTTTTATTTTATTTTTTTTTAATTTTTTTTTTATTGCGTAAGTATTTATTACTAAAAACCTAAATAGATTTTCCAGCTCGTGTATTTTCCGTGGCTATTATTAACAATCGGGGTGAAGGCCAGCTATCAGTTGGATGAGGTCACCTAACCGTAATAAGCGTATGGAGCCGCATAGCCCGAGTAGGCGGAGTAGGCATAGGGACTGGCACCATAGTAAAACTGAGGAGCAGGCTCTGGGCTGGCCACTGGAACTGGTGCAGGAGCAGCACGGGCAACAGGCGCTGGCACAGCCATGGAAACGGCGAACAGAGCGGCGAAGAGGACAACGAACTATGAAAGAGCATATATTAGAGATAGTTTCTGTAATTTTTTGTATATTAACTCACTAGCTTCATCATTTTGACGGATGTTTTTGGGTTGAAGAGACTATTGGGATGTTTTAATATCAATTGCAGAATGAGTTTTGATGCCTTCTGGTCGGGCGCAGTCTCTATTTATACTCGAAACAGATTCTCATGACTTATTTATGAAGAATAAGCGAATTGACATCACATCATCACACATTTTGCTCATTCTCATTTTGCGTATTTATTTCACTTTTATTTGGCACACATTATTCTTAAAGAGTTGTTAATAGTTTTGTCAGCAATCAAAGTGGCTTTGCATTCTAATGCCTTCTTATCGCGCACTCATGTTTCGGGAACAATAGGTAAGTCCGTACTTGAATATATACATATACATATACATATACATATACATATACATACATCTGTCTAATGTATGCAATAAGCTCAACTTCTGACGCTGACCTTGAAAGTGATTGGTACTTTGTTTTGATTCTGTGGCTCGCCAAACATATATTTGAAATGCATCTTGAATACCAATTGACATTTCTTTGGAGGAGGCTTTTAGCGCAGCTCTGATCACATTCGCCAGCAATTAACGTGATAAATGATTAAGCGATTTGAATAAAATTTACAAACGACCACAGAAGCTAAATTTGTTCCTTTCTGAATAATAATTGCGGACTTTGCCCCAAAATAACAGACTTATGCGGATTCAAAGTTCGGTAAGTATTTACATACATCTGGTATAAGCAACGTATACAGACTTATCATTGATTGTTAATGGCCCTGTGTGATTTAGGTCAATAAGTCTTGCTGCCCTCTTCCTTAGACTCAAAAGTCCTTAGATCTCAGTGTAATTTTAACCTTAATCTCTACCTGTGTTCGACAAAAGTAGGTGACATTAGTTGGAAGTTATATAAAATATATGTAAAGAATTGCAGGTATATGAGTTTATCTATAATTTATTATATGTATTTGTAACTATTTTTGTGTTATATTACTGAAAGATATAAGTTTGTTATACCATGAACCCCTATTCAATGGGAATCAGGATAAAATTGTTTTGGTTTTGTTAAATGTATTTAACGGGCAGAAGGAGGCTTGGCAGACCCTATAAAACATATATATTCTTGATCATGACAAGCTGAGTTAATTTAGCCCTGTCCGTCTGTCCGTCCGTATGTTTGAACTCGTGTTCCTCTGAAGATGTAAAAGCTAAAGACTAAATTTGTTCTATGTCCATGAATATCACGCTCATATCGCAGAAAATCAATAACTCATCCCATTATTTTTGTTATTGATAAAATTAGTTATTAAATTATATTTCCAACATCTTTAGAACTAATATCCAAAAACTTAAATATAGATTCATTTGTATTTTATAGTTTCGATTTTTGCTATAATTCACCCCACCCCTATATCCACGCCCTCATCCCTAAATTTGTAAAAGGATTACTTCAAATACTAAAAAGACTTGTGTGTTGGTAAATACACTGCCAGTGCGTGTTTATGCGTGCGTGCGTATGCCTCTGTATGTGTGTGTGTGTGTGCATGTGCTGTTTCTTGTGTAAGCAGAGCAGCAAAGAAACGAATATTTAATAAATATTATTTTTGGTAAGAGTGAGAGTATTAATATTGGCTAATAATCCTACTGAATAATTACGAAATGGAACATATACATACATATATTCATGAACATCTTAGCCTTATTCACATGTTGACACATACATACATATGTGTATGAAAGGCAGTTTGTCCATGACATAGACAAAATGCTACGAACCCAAATAAAGCGAGTTAAGTGAGTTGGCGAAATTCGGTAATTGCACATTTGAGTGATATATAAGCGGATTAGAGGATTATTTTTTGGTTTAAAAAAATATTTTTGTGTTTGCTGTTATTATTTACCTTGATTTCTTTTTAACTAACAATTCTGAAATATACTCTGTTTGTTCTCGCGATGTAATTTCACGTTTAATATATTCAGTAATATTAGTAATAATAACTATTATATAGTCTCTGCATTTTTCTGTTAAGCGAAGTAGAATTAAGCGACTCTGTCTCTGCCTTTGCAAGGGTATTCTCGAATTGAAAGAGGGCGATCATATCGCTGCCTTGGTAGATGACACTTATTGGGGTAAGGCTCACCGCCTCGATGACGTCCCCAACCGGGAAAGGAGTGACGTGAATTGAATGCAAAATTTAAATATATGTAGAGTTTTATTCCAGAATATAAAAGCATGCATTCATGCACAGAAGCGCCACAGTTGACTTTTGTGCGCTCCAAGAAGATAGTTGTCTTTCACCATGTTGAAGCTGGTAAGGACTTTTAATGGGATGGACATAAAGAATTCTATATATTCTATATTCTAGGTTTTCCTGCTGCTCGCTGCTCTGCTCGCTTTGGCTGTGGCTGTACCTGCACCAGGGCCGAATCCTAAGCCTAGTCCACAATTTGTTTATTCAGCAGGCTATCCAGCTGTCGCCTATGCATCCCCTTATGTTTATTATGGCTAACATGCCCTCCTTCAAGATGGACATAAAAGACAATAAAGATTTTGCAATTGAAATGAATTCAGCCGTGTTTGAATAAAGAGTGATTGATTAAACGACAGCGAAGTCAGCAACCATAACATTGTATTAGTTGACTCAACAAGCATCATGCGCCATATAATCACCATATACCTAGTATCATGGTGTAATCCGTAAGGCAAGGCAATTTTATAGTAAGCAAGGTAATAGGACATGCGAATATATTTATTATTCGGCAATTGACTACTATAGACAACCGTGGTCACAGATTACTCGAAATTCCGTTTTAAATTATGGGAGCTAAAGTATCAATATGATACTTGACACACTTGACACACCGCCAGAGTGAAGTCATCAACCATGTCTAGTTTACAAACAGCTAGTAACGCAATCATTTCTAAAGTGTTACTAGTCAATTTATCAACCACCAGACTTTTCTAATGCATGTACCTTATCATGTTGAAGGCGTATAATGTTCTCATGGTATTATAGAAATCAAGTATATTACGATGCAGCTAAATAATAATTTAATAGAAGGCAGAAGAAGTGTTCACAGATTATTATTAGCAATTATTTTACTTAACGACAGGAACAATTTGTTTTATTTAAATTCTTGGGCTAAAAAAAAAACCAATTCTTTAGCTGCCAAAAAGTATGCAATGATATATATTTTTATCTATTATGACTCGTGTGAGTTCACTTCTGGCAAAGCTTAAACGCCATCTACTGGAAAATATTTCAACTTATTCATATTTACCTTTACAATACGTTATAGGATTTCAAACTTGGTGTTATACAAACATTGGTGAGTTTTAACTTTGCAACAGTGACAGTGTTCTATAGTCTGTTATATTTGTCATAAGAAGTTTGCTAAAGTGCAAGCTTAAAGCTTTCGACTACCCCAACGTGAAAGCTTGATACTGTCAGTATCGTCAAATTCCCCAGCCGACAATTCGAATGTTGAGCAACATGTTGGATGTTGCTAGAACGAACTGTTGCTTTTGGGAAGATGACGACAAACTGTCTACAATGTGACGAAAGTAAAGGATTCCACAAGAGTCGCAATGTCCTTCAGTACCATTTCTGATTTTGCACTGATTTGAACACGCCAGCAACGAAATCAAGTGTAAGCAAATTACAGCTGAAGCTGAAGTCAAAGTTGAGTTCGCGTCGCGTCGCAGTGCTTCGCTTCAAGTCGGCACTCGCAGCCGAGGAGCAGGTCCTGTCGTCTACGCATTTTGGATTTCAGTCCGTTTTTGGCACTCGGTTGAAATGGATCACGAATCGCAAAACTCACTCTGGACATTAGTACCGAGCCTCGCGCGATTGTCCCACGTATTTCGAGTTACCAGTGCCCATGCGATATAAGGTGGAGCAACTAAACACAAATAAAGCAAAAAGAGGAGTAGACGGCGCGGATATGTTGCCGGAAATCAAGTCTTTACCGTGCCGGAGTTGCTGTGTTGAGATAAGAATATCCCAGGCCTTCACTCATGAAGATGATGTCATCCGCGGCTGATTCGCCTCGAAGTGAAACCGACCCCAAAAGTGAAACTAAAAGTGAAAGTGGCTGTGAATGCGAATGTGTTGCTAGCCAAACTATTTCGGCAGTGGGCGACCCATGAGTAATTTGTTTTTTGGCAAAGCCACGCCTCTTTGCCTCTTTATGACGCTGTCATTAGCCATTATCCTGGCCAAAAGTGAACCTAAGTGAGTAACGCAATTATAATAATAATTCACGTCGAAAAGGATCAGCGTCAAGGAACAAAATAAAAGCAGCACATGTAACATGGATAAATGCATATTAATTTGCTGTCTGCTTCAGCTGTCGAGAAATGGTAAGGAAATTTACTGAAAGCCACTAACAAACTAACGTTAAATAAAAACTGTTGGGTAAAAATTTTTTTTTTTTAATTTTTAAATTATTTAAACAAAAAATTTAAACAGTGATCGCACTTACGACTCTGTTTGAATAATGAGAAAATATACAATTTATATTTATATAGAATGGAAAGTATAGGTAATTCCAAATTATGTGTGGATATGCTTCCTTCTTCGTCTCGTCAATCTTGTAACTTAGTAGGAGCTTTGCTTTCAGTGCCTTTAGTATGCTATAAACTGTTTGTGCTCATTCTGGAAACACTTCCAAGAGCTTTGGACTTTTGGGACCAGGCTAGATGCCAATCAGGCTTCATTCGCCCAACACATATAATTTAATCAAATTGGATAAGTAATTCGGAGTCATCCAGCTTGAATTTATTTCGACTTCGGCTTTGATAGGTCAGTTTCCTGATCCATCTATTTTGATTTGGTCTAAGGCCAATTAGCTATGCTTTGATAAAATGAAATAAATGAAATCTTTAAAGGTATTTAAAGACATTCTGTTCAGTTTGTTTCTCTCCTGTTCCCACAACAAACCAGCAGCTGCCCATTCAGATGGGGTATATATCTGTTATTCTTTTCAAATCGAATTCATATAGGATATTGTATGTAGCGTATATCCAAGCCCTAATTTATCTAAAGCAACAACCCCGGTGAATGCCCTTCTATTTGCGTGCGTATGTGTGCGTGGGTCTGCTGTGTGCTTGTGTGCGTTTACTCGATACCACATCTGAGGACGTGTGTTCACCCGTTTGCTTACAATATTAAGTGCAAGTCGCATTATTTGAAAGTAGCTCGCGATACTTCCACTGCTTTAAGTTGCTCAGCTTATCTACATACGCCTCCACCTTGATTCTTGCGACGATTAGCGTTTTACTGAATGTCCAGCATCTTCTCCAGCGACCAAGAGCTTCCCTCAGTGCTGACCTCCCAGGACGAATAGTCCACAATCGCATTCTGATGCGTCGTTGCCAAATCATTCAGATAGTTTTGGGGGCACCCGTGTCATTCTGGCCACGAAGGATAAAAATTATTCCTGCCATTCGTGTGACCATGGTTCCCATGGTTCCAGCTCTGGCCTATTTGCCATCGTACCAGATTGTTCGATTGAATGAATCTGCATTTGCTTCTGGCTCATTAGATGTTGTCGTCCGTATTCTGCTCTTTAGCCTCGGTGGTCGGGATTTCTATTTTTCGAATACACCGGCATGTGCATTGGGCATTCCGAAAACTTTATTATTTCTTATCAACTGCATTGTGTGTACAAACTTGTTTACCGAAAGAGAGTTGCGGAATCCTATAAGTGTGTCAGGGTAAGAAGGATATATGCATTATGTTATATTAACGCCTTCGATCATAAGGTTACGTCAAATTTATTTGCGCTATTTATCTTTCTTACCCGTGCCCTCTGACAGCTCTGTTCCAGGAATATATGATAAATTCAGTCAAATTTTTGTTATCTGTTATTTGTTATAGCAGCTGCAGTCTTTGGAGCCGTGGAGCTGGAGAATTCATCCACGGCCCGAATAGATGTATTGCCCAGTCACCTGCCGTCGCCCCTAACTCTGACGCCGTCGACGCCGTCGATAACGCACTTTGTAAATGACTCCTTCATCATCTTTTGCAAAACAGTGCACAAGGATGTTGACACAAAGTGGCGGGATCCCAGGGGTCAGCCCCGTGAGAACACCAAAGGGCGCGTTCACATTGAAAAGAAGACGGGTTAGTCATTTGAGAAGTTTAAAGCGCTGATGTCGTTCATGGTTTTATACATTATTTGTATATTATTTACTTATTTGCAAAATTGATTCCTTCTTAGGCCAACTCGCTCTGGTCTTTGAACATATTTCACTGGAAGACAAGGGCAACTGGACTTGTGAAATGGATTCGCCCGCTGCACGAGAGCCACGAAAATCCTTTGAGCTGCTTGTAAACCGTAAGTTATATACCTCAACTGTAATTAAACAGTCAGCCAAGTAGTATAAAGGGGCCTTTTGTCATTATTAAAACTCCTATCGGGCATGAATACATACTAATAAAATGAATTTGAAATGAAATGAATGAATATAAATATCTCAGGTGAAAAGCCATAGGTAACCTCTGTTAAAAAGAAACTTGTTCAAGGGAAATAAAGCCCGATAAAATAAAAACAGAATGAATTTGGTGTCATTACGTTTTTAATGAGCATCCTTCAGTCCATCATCAAACTTGTGATATAAATGAGCATTTGAACATTTTGTACGCAGTCTCTCTCCCCATCCGTCATTCAGAGTTTACTTTTCAGAGTTTACTTTTGATCCATTTTGTTAGTTGCTCAACGCCTTATTGATTCAGACCAGCAAGATGCATATGATGTTTTACATTTTCTACTTTTTCCCAATTCACAAACAGAAAAAATATCATTCGACAAGACGGAGCAGGTGCAATCGGTGCGCGAGGGGCGCGATGCTCTGGTCAATTGCTTTGTGCACGGCCAACCTGTACCGGAAGTCTCCTGGCTGCACAACGGCGAATACATAAACAGTTAGTAGTAACATATCATGGCAGTGAAGAAGGTAAATAGTTTACTAAGTCTCCATTCTCTGCTTCGTTTAGCTGCTAACTCCTCAAAACACAAACGACTCTCCGACGGGCTCTTCATCAAGAATGTTAGCCAATCGGATGCAGGAGAATACACTTGTCGAGCCATGCGAATAACGCCCACATTCTCAGACTCGGATCAAATAACGATACTGTTGAGGATACAACGTAAGTATTAAAATGGCCAACTCTGGAAAGCCCTTGCAACCCATTTATTGCTCGCTAACTAATAGTAGTGAATAACCCTCGACTTGATATATAATGAGATATATAATGAGACTCGATTGAGAGACTGAAGAGTCTCCGTTGTGCTCTTCAATGTATCAATCAATATCGGCTATATCTTTAGTAAATTATATATTCTGTCTGTATCACTCTATCACAGTCGATTCAAAGCTTATCAACTTACCCAAAGGCTTCTCTAATTGTTTGCTAAACTATTTTGCCTGTTTTACGTCGCTTTACGTGAATCGAACTGTTGGGTGTTATGAAAATGGACACACAGCTGCTGGCAGTTTCCTAAACAGCTCCAATTAAACGTGGCTCGCATAATATGACCAATGGGCCAACGCCTGCTCTATGAGCTCTAAACAAACTAACACGGAACCAGAAAATTGGCAACATTCATTTGCCTTTCTTCCGGAATTCCCTCTTTGCAATTGCGATTGAGTTGCCATTACCATCTAAATTGTGCTAATGACTAACGACTGCCGACTACCACCTCCCGTCGGAGGAGGATGACGATAGGGGTGTGGCTGCGGACAGTAGGTGCGAGTAAGCTGACCACCTTCTGACCCACTGCTGGGCAAACAACAGCCAATAGATGACGAAACTAATTTGTATCCCAGTCGAAATGCTGAAAATTTGCAACATACTCGAGTATGCTTGCATTTCCTGAGCAATAATACCCAAGGATGACTGCAATGTCGCCGGCAAGGACGAGCACCAGCCAATGCTAAAATGTGTCATCAGTTTACGCTTGAATGGAGCATGGGGGCTTCTGGGTGGCGGCTGCTGGTCCTCCCAAAGGAATCGGTTGGATTTTTGAGCCAACGACCAAATGGCATGGCTCCACTCCTCTGTCTAGCTGTAGCTTGTTTGTCCTAGTTGAACATTCATGCGGGTCTAGTCCTTTCGGCAGCACCCAACTCTCCTCAAACTAACTATCCTCTCGCCCATTATTTCAGACAAGCCTCAGTGGTTCTACAACGAAACGTTGCCTGTGCAATATGCCTATGTCGGTGGCTCCGTGAATCTCAGTTGCGATGCGATGGGCGAACCACCGCCATCGTTTACGTGGCTGCACAATGGCAAAGGGATTGTGGGATTCAATCATCGCATCTTCATGGCGGACTACGGAGCAACTCTGCAGCTGAATATTCGCAATGCCAGCCAGTTCGGGGACTACAAGTGTAAGGTGGCTAATCCGCTGGGCATGCTCGAGCGGATAATTAAGTTGCGCCCTGGCGCCAAGCCCATTGGACCAACGCGCTTCCAACTCAAGCGTCTCTATCCGGATGCCTTCGAGCTGGATCTACGGACGCCACGCATGACCAATGTCTCAGACGAGATGCAAATCTATGGATATCGTGTCGCTTACATAAGTGAAAGCGATTTCAAATACAGCGCCGGCAATTGGAGCTATGCCAAGCAGAGGGATTTCTCGTTTCATCGTGGTAGGTTATATATCTATCTATCTATCATGTATATACAGATTTGTTAAATGTTATGTTATGTACATTATCGGTTGTACTTGGTATATTTCAGATTGAGGTAGGATAAATTATTCCTTATCGTGGTGATCAGCTTTGCAGGTTATCTATTTCGAAAACCATTCGAGACAAAAACTTTGAATTTTGTACATATACATATTTAGACATTTTTCCCCTATTACCACAAATTTGGATAAGCGTCCTATATTTGTCATGTGTACAAATATGAAATGTTGAATGAGCTCAGTTCTTCGCAGATTTCAGCCAGCCCTAACTAATGTTTTAGTGAAACAATTTGTTTTTGTCTGTACAGCTACAATATTTGTCTGAAAAATCAGAGCTCCATCATCAGGAGGGTTAATTATCCCTTCTAAGTACATTTAGAGACTTTAGCGTAGCGTCAAGCTATTAAATTCTTGCAAATATTGTTTTTAACTTCCAGGACATCGTTTCATCATACCCCATCTAGAGGGCAATACAACATATTTAATGCGTGCCGCTTCACGAAATTTGGCCGGACTTAGCGATTGGAGCAGCGTGAAGATTTTTGCCACAGCTGCCGCAGCTTCCCCATGGCATCCCTATAGATGGTGCATCCACGTCTTGATAGGACTTGCTTTGTTTTGGCACTAGACGATGGATGTGGATTTTGAACGAAGTCTACTGTAGCATTAGTTAATATTGTTATTAGTAATTATCGTTGCTAATTTTTGGTAAGTTGAGTTTTTGTGTATCTTCTGTGATAGACTTTATGTGCAATCCAATTATCCGGAATGGAGAATGCTTTATAGTTACTTTGATCATTGCCAATTTCGCTGCCAACATTCGGTACTTTTATTAATGTAGCTTGGTTTCATTTCATTACAACTGGTATAATGGCAATCCAACGGTATACATACATATATATATATACATATATACATAAATACATTAGTGCATACATATGTCAAGTCTTTAATAAACTCGTTTAATGTCAATGCCTCACTCTACATCAATGTTGTTTATGCTAAACAAACCATTTTTAGGATAAGATCTCCCCAACAAAAGAAAACACTTACTTTGATGAATTTTACAAAAGTCCAAACAAATGAAACAAAATGAAGATGAAAAGCCTACAAGAATAACAAAATAAATGTTGTTGAATGAAAAGCAAAGAAACCTTAAAAAAGCATAGCAAATCAATAAGTGTGAATTCATTTAGGCCTGTTTAAATGAATATACAACATAATAAAATTAATTAAATCATGTAGATGATAAGTCGAGGATCTGAATTATATGGAAATAAAAGAAGTTAAATGTATAAAACGTGTTTATATTGTATATGGTATTTGGTATATGTATACGATATACACCATGATATATGATGTATATCCGATATAAGGCAATTGGTATATGGGAGAGTAGGCTAATATATTATATGGTATATGGTGTATATAAAATATAATTTTTAATATTAGTAAAATAAGCGAGCTTTGTATCAATTCAGAGGAAATATTTATATGAAGTCAAGCAAATTATGTAAGAGAGACAATTGCGCATGAATCTTCCATCGAATCACAATGACTTTTCCTGACCAATTTCCGTATTCCATCTTTTCTCATGCCCAGAGTTTGCATCCGAATTAATGGTTTTTATTGACAATCCTCGAGCACACAATCAACCAACATGTGTATAATCGTAGGTAGCTGTGACCACGTTTGCTGAACAGTTTGTGAAATGGAAAATCGGTAAACAATATTACTGGGGAGAAACAGCGGCACATAGTTGGCCCGGACAGCATCAACTTGCTGCCGTAATCGGAAAGGTTTATTTTAATTAAAATTTACAATTAATATTTAATGAGTCGAGGAACAACAAGGAGATAGGAGACAGGAGACACGCGACAGCAGCCAGAAGCCAGAAGTGGCAGCCGCCAACGAATACGTTCAGCTTGATGTGCATTAAATTGAATTTCAATAAAGCCACTGCAGGAGAAGCTACCCATAAGATGTGCTTCTGCATTTAACGATAGTTTTCTGAAAAGGGATTTCTCCGATGTCGCAGATTAAATACGATTTTACGCCCTTCTTATGGATTGATTTTAGTTTGTGACAAAGGGCTTAAATCAAAGATTGAATAAATATAATCAATACGCGACTGTGGCTACTTCACGTAAAATAATTATCTGTATATAACTTACAGAAATATCAACAGGGAAGAAATTTCAGTTGTATGACAGCTTTAAAAACATTCAAAATGTCTTCATAGAGATATTGGAGTTTACAATGAACAAGTTTTTAGGGGTATATTTAGTAGTTATTTAGTTCATTTATACACGTCTGAAATATCAGAATATATATTATATCTATAGATGCTGCATATACCCCTATACGATTTAGATTTTCGATCCTCTGGGCAGAACGATATTACAAAAATCATTATATCCAGTCAGCCAGTCACCCTGATCAAGAATATATGTATATACTTTATGGGGTCTGACACTTCTCATTTTTACAGTAATTATAGCAATATATCTTAATATCTCATTTTCAGGGTATATAAATATTAATATATAAGTCATCCACTAGCTCAATGTTGAGTAATGAAATGAAATTGTAAATGTGCTCAATATGTGAACAAATTCTGTTTTCTCTGTCAGTCGGTTTTAACCGAGGCGGTTGAAAAATTGCTCATATTAGGATTTAAGGTGCGAATGCTAGTAAAAAATGTAAGATTCGTACATATGTGTATAAATAGTCTACGTTTTAAAATTGATTTTCTTATCAAAATAAAAGGACATAATTAAGTTCCTAGATTCTGTGCAAGCCGAATGCTCTTTTCCCTATCATTCTACAATTTGATACTAACACATATATTAATACATGAGTTTAGTTTACAAGGGCACTGAAGATCGTTTTATACCCTGAACCCATTTTCAATGGGAAATCCGGGTATAATGGTTTTGTTGAAATGAACGCAGAAGGAGGCGTGTCAGGGCGACGAGCTGAGTTAATTTAGCCCTGTCTGACTGTCTGTCTGTCTGTCCGTCTGTTCGTCTGTTCTTCTGTCCGTCTGTCAGTATGTTTTAACGCGTCGATTTCAGAAGATATAAGAGCTATAGACCTCAATTCTTTAAATGTCCGTGTATACTACGCGGATGTCAAGTTTTGCTTTAAAAATCTATAACTGGCCTCGTTATTTTGTTATCGATTAAAAACATTATCGAAAACCAGTAATAAATTTATACGTCTTTAAGGCTAGAGTCGCCAAATTTTTAATGTAGATTCATATGTACTTTATAGAATATCGTTTTTTGTCAAAATTCACCCCCCACCCCTATATTCACCCCGTCACCCACATATTTTAAAAAGCGTATTGAAAGTACTTGAGACTTGTGCTTTGGCAAATGCATGCATATCCATGGTATAATCATAATCTGAAAGTTTCATTTACAATTAAGTTCCCATAGTAAGTCACCAAGTCATGCGTGTTTACGCGTGCGTGCGTAAATACATCGAAATTGAAATTTTAGCCATACTAAATGGGCATTTTTATTAGTTTGGTTTCGGGTAGTATCACTAATCTGTGGTTAGTGGTAATATCTAATCGAGCACTCTCGACTAGAGTTTTCTTACTTGTTTTTATTTTGGTGCATAACTAGAGGTTAATCGATATTTAGTGATAAACAAAACGGTAGTATAAATATTCAAAAGTAATAAAGAACACACAGATTTAGGGGAAAACTTAAATAACCTACAGAGCAACAAAATTTTATTTTGAGCCACTCTTTATCTGAAAGCAAAGATAACGCATACTATACATAGATATCTGTTAATGACATTTTTGTATACCCTGAACCCATTGAAAATGGGAAATCAGGGTATAATGGTTTTGTGAAAAAGTATGTAACGGGCAGAAGGAGGCGTGGCAGACCCCACAAAGTATATATATTTTTGATCAGTGCGACGAGCTGAGTCGATATAGCCCTGTCCGTCTGTCCGTCCGTCCGTCCGTATGAGTGCGTCGATCTCAGAAGTTATAAGAACTAGAGAGCTGAAAGTTGGCATGCATCCTTGTGTGTACCATACCACTAACCAGAGAACAGTACGAGTTTGCTCTATTTTTTCGATAAATCATCCGATAACTATTTTATCGAGAATAATCGAAAAATTGATTTGGTTTTTTAGCCTAATTTGAACACTTTTAGACCTGGAGTCTTCAAATTTGCGTTGTATATAAAGGTAATCAATACAAAGATTTTGTAATTTACAGATTTTGGATACCACGCCCCCTTCTCCCCCAATTTGTAAGAAACGCATTTCAAGTACTAGAGTGCTTTGGAATGTCCACACATTTTAACCATATGATTACGCTCTGAAAGTTTCATTAAGATCGTATGTCTACAAAATAAATTATTCAAAAAAAAAAAAAAAATTCTCATAATATTGCCCACACTGCAGCGCAGCCCAAGCGCAGTCGCTGCTTGCTGCGCAGTTAGCAGTGAGCAGGCTTATGCGTGCGTGTGGATGCATGTATATGTATGTGTTCATAAAAGAAGTGTAGAATGATTAGAATATCAGCTTAGAGGGTCCAGGGTATCTCCTAGTCGAGCAGTCTCGACTGGAGCCTTCATACTTGTTTGTAATTAGGCCAGGTGTTGCAGATGACTTGTTAAATGAAGACAGCCTGGTGCCCGGTGCCAGGTGCCAGGTGCAATTAAACAAAAGGAAAACAAATTGTAATTAATTAAAATTTAATTTGTTATTAATCACAGACATTTCACACATGTTGCTAAATGAAACATTTTGATATAACTGTGCGCATTTTGTACATGCAAAAAAATTAAGCCGCATTAATAATGTAAAGGTGTAGTAATTGGCTATCAACAGGAGCTATTGGCAACTACAGTATGAATGTCCAGTTTCTTTCTTTCTTTAAACATTTGCTGTTTTCACTCGTGCAGTAATGGAATGATATTTTGCCTTTTAATTTGCTCATACAGTTGCTCACAAAAGAAAAGAAATCTGTTTGATTTGTAGAATGTCCAAGTTGCCGTCCCTCTGTCTGTATGAATCCACAGCGTTATATCTAGAGACTCAATAAGAATTCAAAATAGCGATTTATCCAATTATAAATATTTACGAGCGTCGGGCTTAGTCGTCCAGCTTAGTCGTAAATATGAGATCAAACACATTTTCGCAGGAAAACTTAAATCTTACAAACTATGAAGTCGTTTTCGTCCAGTAGGACTGTCCAATATTAAACAAGTAAGAAGGCTCTAGTCGAGACTGCTCGACTAGGAGATACTCTGAACCCTCTAAGCTGATATTCTAATCATTCTGCATTTTTATGCACACATACATACACATGCATCCACACGCACGCATAAGCCTGCGCTCTGCTAACTGCGCAGTAAGCAGCGACTGCGCTTGGGCTGCGCTGCAGTGTGGGCAATATTATGAGAATTTATTTGTTGAATAATTTCTTTTGTAGACATAAGATCTTAATGAAACTTTCAGAGTGTAATCATATGATGAATATGTGTGTACATTCCAAAGCACAAGTCTCTAGTACTTGAAATTTTTTTTACGTTTTTTACAAATTGGGTGGAAAGGGGGCGTGGTCTCCAAAATCTGTAAATTACTAAATCTTTGTATCGATTAACTTTATATACAACGCAAATTTGAAGACTCCAGGTATAAAAATGTTAAAATTAGGCTGAAAAAACAATGCCGATTTTTCGATTATTCTCGATTAAAAAGTTATCGGATGAATTATCGAAAAAATAAAGCAAACTCGTACTGCGTATGGTACACACGAGTATGCACGCCAAATTTCAGCTCTCTAGCTCTTATAACTTCTGAGATCGACGCACTCATACGGACGAACGGACGGACAGACGGACAGGGCTATATCAACTCAGCTCGTCGCGCTGATCAAGAATATATATATACTTTATGGGGTCTGCCACGCCTCCCTCTGCCCGTTACATACTTTTTCACAAAACCATTATACCCTGATTTCCCATTTTCAATGGGTTCAGGGTATAAAAAAATATCGTATTGATGATATTTTAAATTTTGAAAAAATATCATTTCAATATTTCTGGAAGTATTTTTATACCCTGAACCCATTTTCAATGGGAAATCAGTCGAGCATTCTCAACTCTTACTCGTGATAATTGATTAATTGATGGTATTACAATACCATTTTATATGCGATTTACGATCTGCCACGTTTTTAATTAGCTTTAATAAAGTGAACTACTAGGAATAATTGTATTCTTCAAGAATAAAGCGATATTTTCATAAAGATATTTTCAAAAACATGTATGGATCTGCAGAAGAATAGGTGGATTGCGATTCATACTCATAGTAATTCTTATCCAATAGCTATTTCAATAATTTTTCGCGTCTTTCAGCTTACACAAGAAACACGCACGCACACACACAAGCATAAACACGCATGGGCGCAGTGTGCGCTTACTATGAGAACTTAATTGTTTAATAACTCTTTTTGTGGACATACGATCTTCATGAAACTTTTAGATTATGATTATATTATAAAGATGCATGTATTTGCTCTAGTATTTGAAATACGCCTTTTACAAAAGTGAAGGTGAGGGGGTGGATATAGAGGTGGGGGTAAATTTTAATTTTTTATCGATAAAAAATATCGGGATGAGTTATCGATTTTTAATGATAAGCTCGATATCCGCATTTAAAAAATATTTGAAGTCTCTAGCTCTTATATCTACTGAAATCGACGCGTTCATACATACGGACAGACAGACAGACGGACGGACAGACAGACGGACAGGGGCAAATCGACCCATCTCGTCTCCCTGATCAAGAATATATATACTTTGTGGGATCTGCCACGCCTCGTTCCGCCTGTTGCATGCATTATAAATAATCTACCTATTGATTAAGTATACATTTTTTGAAGACTTGTCAGAATCAGGTTTAAGAATACATCTAAAAACTGGAAAATTAATATATAACATAAAATATACCAATCAGTTGCATTAATTAGCTCACTAACTAATCTAAGGAGCATGTATGTATGTCGCTGTTTAAACAGCTTTGAAGAATAACAAACCGAAGAAATATCTATTTAACCATACTGACTAAAAATGCAACCCTTTTTCAGGATTAATGCCTTGGCATCCAAAAGTGATCCATCTAATTTAATATCCAACAAATAACTCGTTAACAAGAGTATGTCATATAAGTTAGGTATTCAATAATATATTAACTAAGTTGAGAAAATGGAGCGAAGATTGATGAATTTATTATGGTGTGTTTCTGTTAGATAAGGTTTCGAAAATGTTCCACAAAAAACATGAGTAAATATTAATCATATATATATTTTGATTCATAATCAGTTGCGTCGCCTACGTAAACAGAATCCCGCAGAATTGACAAAGAAATTTTTGTTCGAGCAACCGCATAAATAATATCATTTACAATCAAAAATAATTGTATCGGCGTTCGATTCATTCGGAATTTATATCATGTGCGATAGCTTAAACTTCATTATTTGAAATGTATTTATCAAGACAAGTTAGTATTGATATGATATAACATTTTAATTTATATATGAACTGCACCGCACTTTATCCATTTGTTCCTCAGTGTACCTTTTTAAGGTTTAAGTTGCTAATTTGTAAATATATATATACATGCTCCTATGCTAAATATTTAGTAGTAGTAGTTCAAGGTGTGTGGGCTTTCCAGAATTTTCAATTACTAAATAGTACATGAAATATAGATTCGTACTTACTGAATGCATATCAGCTGATAAGTACTACCCCACAGCATGCTAGCAATTGAGAAATAATCAAGTACACTGTCAATTGGCAAGACAGATAAGACAGATAATTTATCCGTTTCTTCACCTTTATTTATTACATACAATCCACACATAGCGGAAAAAGCAATAAAAATGCAAACAAAGAAAACGATGGCAGTGACAGTCAACCGAAATAGCTCGGCCTCTTAATGAACGAAATCATTTAAATAAATTTTTTTTTTTTGTTGCTTTTTTCTTTATTTTAAATTAGATTACAATAAGAATATAGCGATGCAAGTTGAACAGTTTCAAGTGCCCGCATATTATTGTATTTTAGCAGGAATTTCAACGCATACGATATCCACACTGTTCTGGTCCTTCAGCTCCCATTTAACTAGCACTGAGACCTTTGGATAACTCTTCAGTACAGGCAGCGTGGCCGTATATCTATAAGCTTCGTTATTTTCTAATGGACACTTGAGTCCGCTGTTAAGGCAGGCATCGGGATTAGTGAGTGGAAAGGGCATTTCGATGCCCAAAACCTTGCCGTGCACAACGGTTTTAACGACAGAAGCCGTCTCGGCCAATGCAAAGTCTATCGAAATTGAAACATTGGTATTTCGTTGTAGAAGGCACTCCGGCTTTGTGGTATCACAGCCTTCAATGGTGACTTGAGTAAATTTTCCCGTCTTTGATCCACAATCTTGAAATTCTAAGGCTGTACCCAGCTGCAGCGTCAGAAGTAGCGACGAAATAAGCACGCATAACGTAAACATATTGCTTATTTACTTCAATTAAAAGTTCCGGCGAGAAAACACTAAACGCAAGCTCATACAATTTGCTCGACAATGCCTTAGCTACAACTGAAATATGACTACAAAACGGTAGATAAAGGCAAACGCAAAAATCAGCTGCGCGCCTTATGTTATAAACACGTTGCTATCGATATCAATGTAAATGTCGAAAAGCCCGCCTTTGTAAATTTAATAGAGCTACATTTCTCATAAACAAATTCCAAGATTAAAAATAAAACGGATTTTTATATTGATATCAAATAGAATTTGAAGTTTCAATTTTTCACTTTTACGTCCAGGTATGATTATTGTAAAAAACTTGTATTTATATTTTAATATATCCGAGAATGATTATTGTATTCTTAAAATATATATCCATTCTTATTTAATATATTCAAGAATTATTATTATATTCTAATAAAAAACTTGTATTTATATTTTAATATAAATTTAGTTGTAAGACATACAAACTATATATGTAAATCTAGTGTTTATGATAATACAAAACTATCGATTACTTATAAAATGGTATTGATGTTGGAGAAGTGCAGTTATTTAACTTAATTTGTTTACGAAAATCGGTTAGCACAGCTTCGAATTTGCTCGGTCGCTTTAGGTTCAATTATAAAAATTATGAGCCTTAAAATTAGTGTGCTTAAACGTCCAGATTCCGATTTTATATGGTCTCTCTATGCTTACTCTTCGGTATCTGTTCTATCAAATATTTTTATGAATGTATGTATAGGCTGGAGTGCATAAGTAATACGTGTTGCATATTTGAAGATGTACCACTTATGAATGTTTTGTATGGTAAGTCAAGTAAGGAGTTATAGATAGTAAGTGCACCACAAAAACAAAACAAATTCGAGAATCGATTAAGCTGATCACAATAAGTCACCGATAGTCCAGAACTAGCGAATTCATCGTGAAGTGGTACACGACATTTTATAATCGTCTCGCGAATGCGTAATCGGCAACTTTAGAGTTCATATAGTTAATAAAAACAGTGTAACCTTCAGCAACATCCCAAATGGAAATGTCGTAAGAAATAAGTTAAAAACTCTATCTCAGATATAGATATCGACTATGTCTAGTAACCATTTCAAAATCTTAACTTGCGCCATTGGGCTTAAGGTGAGTCACTCTAATATCGATATATACCGAATCGATGTTACTCAACACTGCCCACCAAATGTAATTTATTCTTGCACCTCACAAATTTGCAAACGCTTAAAAATCTTTGCGCTTGCATTTTCCTGAAAATTTTCGCAAGTAAATCAAAGTTTTACTTTGGAGCTAGCTTAATCGTGTAGACGGCCCAGAGTCCGCGATTAAAACTAGAAAGGAGGCACTCAAGCTGTACGCAGTAGAAAAACAACGCCCAAAAAAATAGCGATAAAAATACGACTACGTGTGTGGTATCAATTTTCTATTTAGCTGCGTTTATTAATTAAATTTACCATGGCTGAAAAGTACACTTTTGGCAACACGCCAGCAGCTATAACATGCCACGCCTGGAATAAAGATCGCTCTCGTAAGTGACGCATGTGTGGAGTAATATAAAAAAACCCAGACCTTTTAATCTATGACTCACTTTTTATTCAGAAATCGCTTTGTCTCCGAACAACCATGAGATTCATATCTACAGCCGCGAGGGCCACGGCTGGAAGCTTGCCGATGTGCTTAACCAGCACGATTTACGTGTGATGGGTATCGATTGGGCAAAAGAAACGAATCGCATCGTTAGCTGTGCAGCAGATCGAAATGCTTATGTTTGGACGCAAGCGGAAGACGGAAAATGGAAGCCAACTTTAGTGCTGTTACGGATTAATCGTGCTGCTACTTGTGTGAAATGGTCGCCAGCAGAAAATAAATTTGCCGTGGGATCTGGAGCGCGTCTCATTTCGGTCTGTTACTTTGAATCGGAGAACGATTGGTGGGTGTCGAAGCATATTAAGAAGCCGATTAGGTCGACGGTTACCTCCTTGGACTGGCATCCGAATAATGTGCTACTGGTGGCTGGCTCCACAGACTACAAGGTACGCGTCTTTTCCGCATTCATCAAGGACATCGAAGAACCGCCGACACCAACGCCCTGGGGCAATCGCAAGCCCTTGGGTCAACTCATGGCAGAGTTCAAGAACTCCTCTACCTCTGGGGGAGGCTGGATCAATAGTGTAAGCTTCTCCATTGATGGTAACAAAGTGTGCTGGGTGGGTCATGATAGCTGTGTGAGCATTGTGGATGCCACCAATGGGAATACGGTAATTCGCTGTCGCACCGGTTACTTGCCTTTCCTGTCCTGCGAATGGGTCTCACCCACATCTGTCGTAGTGGCCGGCTACAGCTGTGTGCCGCTGCTCTACAGCTTGACTTCGGATAACAAGCTTGTGCTAAGCGGCAAGCTAGACAAATCACAAAAGCGTGAAGCGGGCGGCATCACGGCCATGCACTTCTTCAAGTCTATGGATTGTAACATGCGCACTGAAAATACGGATGTAGTCGTGGACTCCATTCACCAGAACGCCATTACCAGCATACGTTTGTATTCGGGTGACAAGGCAAGTGCGAGCAAGGTGTCCACGTCTGGAGTCGATGGCCAGTTGGTAATCTGGACGGTGGAACAGGATGGCATCAATGGAAGCATGCGTAACATGCAGATCTGAGTGCATCCCTAAAATCTGTGTTGGACCCTTGTTTTCCACATCTATATGTTTTTCTTTATGTACGTTTCCATTTCAACTGCAGTAATTTTTTATTTTTGTTAAGAACAAAATGTTAAATGCAGTTCGGATACGCAGTATTTTTGCCAAAATGTTAACAACAAAAATTGCTTTTCCAATTGTTTAATGTATACAAGCTTTTTATATATATATAAATATCTTAATTTTTAACAATTAGAGTATGTTCTTTAATTCTTTCAACTTATATAACAAATCCTGTAAATGTATTTGAAAGTGTTGTTTTTATCTTTGGAGAAGAGGTGGAACTACTTTTTAAAGTGATTTGTTAAAATGATAGTTCGTTATACACGGTTAAATATTTCGGTAGAAACGACAAAATTCTAGATTCCGTAAGAATCAAAAGCAAAGTAATGTCTAAAAATTGTTAGAGTTATTGGATAGATTACGCTACAGTGAGCGTTTAGTAAAAAAGTAACTAACACTGATCAGTTTGAAGTTATTTTAATTTTATTGGCATGAAACATTTACTACATCGTTATATAAATAAGGCTAGTTGTGAGTATTCGAAATAATTTTACGTATCGAATCGCCTGCTAATAGTATTCCATTATCATAAACAGGCCAGAATCCGGTGTCACCCCACTATTTATGTTTGTGGCGGCTGACCGATTTCACTTTCGATAAGTTTCAGTTTATTGCAGAGAGCGCCGAAGTTTGTTGATGTTTGTTTTAAAATAATATGCTTTTAAAGAGTTGAATTTTAATGCGCCTGCTACGTTGGTACGCTACCAAAGCTGGGCGTGAGCATTACGCCAGCAGCAGCATAAAGGTTTATCGGAAACTTCCAAGTAAAACAAAAGTTAGAACAGAACACGTGCCGTCTGCCCAGACCAAGGCAGCGCAGAATGTGGAATATGCTGAAAATTTGGTAAAAGTGCAGATGATCTCACAGAATTTGCATGCCCAGCTCTTTCCACAGTCCAAACGAGAGTACTCTGAAGCAGAACACCTTGCAGCTAAGGCATACAATGCCGAATTGCTGCGTCATGGCATCGATGTAACCAGCACATCGCCCATACCAGATGTGGAGCTAAAGCTGCCTCCATTGCGTGGCCGAAATATTGAGGAGCACTTCCACTCTATAGCCGAGGAACAGGTGGCTCCGTATAAAACACTACTTCAAGCACTGATCGCTTGCAAGGAGCTGCCTGCAAAACCCAAACGATGGGCTTTCCATGCCGGTTGGACAGCCTATGATCCAGTGAGTGGCACTGCCACGCCCGTAGCACAGCCACTCGAAACAGGCATAATTTTCGATGTGGAGGTGTGCGTTCGTGCGGGCAACGACCCGGTAATGGCAACAGCGGTGAGCACCAAGCGCTGGTACTGTTGGGTAAGTCCAAAGCTCACGAAACATCGCTTAACTGTGCCGCACGTTGAGCCGATCGATGTGGATAGCAATGAACGTCCACACTACACGCTCGACGAGCTCATACCTCTAGGCCACAAGGAACCCTCCTTAGTAGTGGGGCACAATGTCTCCTACGACAGAGCGCGAATTCGCGAGCAGTATTTGATAGAGGATACGAAAACCCGCTTTGTGGATACCATGTCGTTGCACATCTGTGTCAGTGGAGTCACTAGCTATCAACGTGCTATGCTCAAATCAAAGAAGGACCCCGCTGTTGAGGATTTGGACTGGCTGGCGCAGAGCTCTCTTAACAACTTAGTGGATGTGCATCGTCTGTATTGTGGTGGTGAGCCCTTGTCCAAGGAGCCACGCAATATTTTTGTGGAAGGCACACTGGAGCAAGTGCGACAGCAGTTCCAGTCGTTAGTGAACTATTGTGCCGGAGATGTAGAGGCGACACATCGCATTCTAGGCAAGCTGTATCCTTTGTATGCAGAGCGTTTTCCACATCCCGTAACGCTGGCGGGTATGCTGGAAATGGGCACTGCGTATTTGCCAGTGAACTCCAACTGGGAGCGTTATATTCGCGATGCACAACTGGCCTACGAGGATCTTAGCATTGAGGCTAAATACCATTTGGGCCGGCGAGCGGAAGAAGCTTGTGCGTTGCTTCACGATGAAAAGTATCGGAAGAATTTGTGGCTTTGGGATGAGGATTGGAGCGTCCAAGCGTTGAAGCTAAAGCAGATGCCCAAGCGCAAGCAACTATCCACTGTGCAACTGCCAGAACAGGGACTCGACGTTGAGCAGCTGCGATTGCAGCGCAAGTTCCAGTATCTTTATAATCAGCGTGCCTTGCTGCCTTCGCGACGGCCCCTACTGCCTGGCTATCCGCAATGGTATCGCAAGCTGTGCCGCAAGCCACCCCCTGACTACACTGAAGATGTGAATGAGGAGCCCTGGACACCTGGTGCGTGTGACATTAGCACGGGTATGCAATTAGCTGCCAAGCTGTTATCCCTCTGCTGGGAGAGCTATCCCCTTCACTATCTTCGCGAACATGGCTGGGGTTTTCTGGTGCCTTTTCGTAGCTCCCAGAGTAACCGCAGTACCAACATACCAATTGAGCAACTGCTCGGTCGCTGTGCCATTCCCGAGTTTGCGCGTCAGTTTGCCGTTGGAGAGGCAGTAGATCTAGCTATGGACCAATTGCCCAAACAAGTGGATGAACATCTAAGCAAGCGACATTTTTATAAAAAAATCTCGCAGCGACAACTGAACCTCGAGAAGCAATACAAAGGTAATGAAAGCTTAAAATAGTCGTCGCCCTCATATACCCTCTGTGCTTTACAGGCTCTGGGGTCTGGTGCAACCATGTGATAGATGATTGTTGCTTCTTTTTGAAGCTGCCTCACAAAAACGGGCCCTCGTTCCGCGTGGGAAATCCTCTGTCTAAGGATTTTCTAAATAAGTTCTCTGAACATGCACTAAGTAGTGGAGACCCTTCGTGCCAGGCTGCGGCGCGTGTCATTGAAATAGCTCGCATGATGTCCTATTGGAGGAACAATCGAGACCGCATTTTAGGGCAAATGGTGGTCTGGCTACATTCGGAGCATCTGCCTGGTGACCTCCAAGCACATGCACAGCGCACTTCTTATGGAGCTATTTTGCCCCAAGTCGTGGTCGCTGGCACTTTGACAAGGCGAGCCATGGAATCCACATGGATGACTGCCTCCAATTCACGTGCCAATCGCATTGGCTCCGAGTTACGTTCGATGGTACAAGCGCCACCAGGCTACAAGTTGGTTGGTGCCGATGTGGACTCACAAGAGTTGTGGATTGCATCCGTGCTAGGCGATGCCTATGCACATGGCGAGCACGGAGCCACGCCCTTGGGCTGGATGACACTCAGTGGTAGCAAATCGAATGGCAGTGACATGCATTCCATTACAGCAAAGGTGGTCGGCATCTCAAGAGATCATGCGAAGGTTCTTAACTATGCGCGGATCTACGGAGCAGGTCAGCAGTTTGCAGAAACGCTTCTGCAGCAATTCAACCCAACGTTAAGCGCCACCGAGGCCAAAGCGAAAGCCATGAAAATGTTTGCTGCAACGAAAGGCAAGCGGGTGTATCGGTTGCGTGAAGAGTTCCATGATGAGCAGGAGGATAAAGCGTACGTCCACAATACATTGAGTAAATGACAGTTTTATGTCTGTACTTCAATCATTCACAGTTACAGCAGTTATGAAGCCAGGCGCTTTGCTCTGCAGCGCAATCGTTCAGTCAGTGAAATTTTCCACCGTCCCAGCTGGCAGGGTGGCACGGAGAGCGCCATGTTCAATCGGCTGGAGGAGATTGCCACACGCGAGCAGCCCGAAACGCCATTTCTTAATTGTCGCCTGAGTCGTGCATTGGACTCGAATGGAGAAGCGGACTTGGAGCAACGGTTCTTGCCCACTCGCATCAATTGGGTGGTGCAGAGCGGAGCAGTGGACTTTCTACACTTAATGCTTGTTAGCATGCGTTGGCTCCTGGGTCCGCATGCTCGATTCTGTTTGAGTTTCCACGACGAGCTACGTTATTTGGTCAAAGATGAGATGGCGCCAAAGGCAGCGCTGGCCATGCATGTTACTAATTTGCTCACTCGCTCATTTTGTGCTTCTCGCATCGGCTTGAAAGACCTGCCCATGTCGGTGGCTTTCTTTTCTTCAGTTGAGGTGGACACGGTGCTGCGCAAAGAGTGTACCATGGACTGTCAGACGCCCTCCAATCCGCACGGCCTGCAAATTGGATATGGCATTCCGCCTGGACAGAGCTTAGGTATCCAAGAAGCTATTGTCAAGGCGGGCGGAGGTGATCTCACTAAATGGCCTTGGCTTAAGCCATCCCAAAACTAATAACTAAAACTTGTTCACATATCTGATTTCAATCCATAGAGGATATCGAGATGACTGCCAAGCAAATAAATTTATACATAAGCAATTCATTTTCAAATATTGTAAGTTTTATTGAGTGCAATATTATATTCACTGGTAAGTTACACTTACATTTGTAGTTGAAAAATCGGAGAAGTACAATACCCATTGGAGATATAGTTTCCTAAAATTTTCCAGGCCCTCTTGTATATAAAATATCAACAGAGTAGGTTCCGCAGTTTCCAGCATGTAGAAATCTACTCTATTTTTTTTAGGGGTTTTTTTTTTTTTTTACAGGTATTTAGATTATTTCCTAATCTAATGAATCGTGAGTTTATAAACAAGTATAATTTAATTTTTAAGCTAATTCACACGAAGTACGTGCAAATAAAAAGGTCAGTGTGGTATATTCTTCGTAAATTGTTTGTAAATTTCATAAAAGGATTTCTATTCTTCAAATAGGTTTACTCCATTAGAACTTAGTGATAGTCTTGGTGTATTTTATGATCGCCGCAGCTTAATGTACGAAATCAATTCGAATACGATAAAATATGATTATTTCGAGCTAATAAAAGTTAAATAATACCAACATATATACAAACATATGCCTAAGAAGAATGTTCTTAATATGAATGGAGCACATCTATTGTGCAGCTACAACTTTTGACCTAATGTTTCGATCTCATTGAGAAAATATAACATATCCGACTCATCCAGGCACGAGTTCTGCAGTACCAGTCGGAAGAAGTTTGGCAACTTGCGCAACGGTTGGTATGTAATCATCATGGAACCCTTCTTGATCATCGCCTCCTTAATTTTGGGTGCCACTTTGTGGAGCTTATCATAGAACTCTTGATTGCGCTCCATTTGTCGCAAGCTGGGCGGCACGTACCAGAACGTAATGTTTGTACACTCTGGCTTGTCCAACACTAACTCGAACCCAGGACGCTCGCGTAGCTTATTTGTAAAATATTCGGACATTTCGAAGACCTGTTCCACATGAGCCTCAAAGCCTTTAGTGCCCTTGGCCTTCCACATGAACCAGAACTTGAAGACATCCGCACGACGACCGCACTGAATGTGCTTGTCCCCTGTATCGAAGGATGTGTCGTAGAATTTATCCTTCTGGAACAGATACGCGGCATTGGTCGAGTGGCACTGGCCCAAAATTTGGGTGTGCCGTGTGAGGAAAGTCGAGCACTGCTGTGAGGCTGACAAGAGCTTGTGTGGATTCCAGGTGACCGAGTCGGCGCTATTCAAGGAATCTTACAATTTAAACTGGCTATTCCACATTTTTTCTTTCGCAACTTACCGCTCAATGCCATTCAGCAACTGTCGATACTTCTTGGACATAAGCGCTCCACCACCCCAAGCCGCATCTACATGCATCCACATGTTGTGTTTGCGACAAAGCTCAGATATGCCCAACAAGTCGTCAAAGGCACCAAGCACTGTGGTGCCCGCTGTCGCGGATACCATCAACGGTTGCCAATTGTTGTCCAGGCAAAACTGAATCTGCTGCTCCAGATCGCTTAGACGCATCTTACCCAGCTCATTGGTAGCTATCTTCCGTACGTGCTCGCTACCAAAGCCCATGAACATGGCCAGCTTTTCGACTGAATAATGGGCATCCTCGGATGTGAATATTACCAAGGGCTTCGCATTAAATAACCCATTTTTCTGAGATAAGTAAATGGAGAAGTATTATATAGATCTACAAATTTGTCGAATATATTTAAATGTGTTTAAATTGAATTATTAGAAAGTTCTCATAGTAAGGCCTATAAACTCGGTCCAGCCGTAAATGACATATGTATGTAAGAAGCATTAAATGAATGATCAGAATGCGAGCTGACAGCAGTATTTAGTTGGTCAGTCTGTTACAAAGATCTACATAATTCAGTTGAGCCAGTGTTGAGTCTCTAAACTCAATTGATTGGGCTAACTCTTAAATCAAGATCCACTAAACATATACATATATATAAACATACATATATGTATTCACATGTATGTAAATGGTATTTCTATTTTGTAGCTTCTAAACTAGAGTTTATTTTTAGAATTGAAAGGTTCTAAGGGTATTAGTGCCAAGTCAAGAATTGAAACTTTTATGAACTCGACTCTAGAGTATTTTCTCAAGTTACTTAATAGCTAAGACTGATCTGAGCTGATCTGATCCTGATTGGAGTAAGTTAGTGTATAGTCCCGTTTCGAGTTGCGGCCAATAATTGAATTTGTATTCAAATGTCTACAGATTTTGTGATATTCAAATAATAGAATACAGCCAACTAGGCAACACTAGTGTCAAGAGTATAGTGCAGTCAGCGTAAAGCTTTGACTAATATTTTCGAGGGCAACTATATTGTAAACGCTGTCTGTTACGTTAGCCGAGTGTCTAGCGTCTAGGCCGCGTATTCGCTTCCGCTTGGTTTGGCTTCAAACACACAACACTAGCCGTAAAAGCGACAACGATCATGAAAACGGAACCCGAAAGTGGTTTTGGCCTTCGGCCCGATGCTTACCTTGGACTCGGGTGCATATTGATAGCGAGCACAGCTGATTGCATAACCGTTTGCTATTGAGCCACCCGGGCAGAAGATGCCATCACCCTGACCGTTGTTGGGGAAGCCAACAATGCGTCGCATCTCCCCAAGTACCTGCTCCTCCATCAGCGTGAAAACGGGCGCCACTTCATATGTGTAAACGCTTGGGTTGAGTGCATCGGTTAGCCACTGACCGATCAGTGCGTAGGGATCCACGCCCGAATATAGCTGGTTGATGAAATACGGGTGACCAGTCTTGACCGAGAATCGTATTGTCTCGCGCAGTAGCTGACGCAACTTATCTGGAGAGTCGGGCTGATCACGCAGCTCAAAATCGAATAGCTTACGTAGCTCGGCAGGCTCATGCCACTCCACGACCTTGGACGAGCGATTGGTACCCTGTAAGACGGCTAGCTGAATTATCTCATCGACGCAGGCACGTATAAAGCCCTCAAACTCGGCCGAGGGGTGGCTGGCCACAAAGCTGGACAGGCCATTGGCAACGTTGTTGTTGTTATTGTTGCTATTCGCGGAGGAGGTTTTGTTGCTGCTGCCGCTGCTGCTACCATTGTTGCTTCCCAACATTTGCTTGCTTGGACTGCCGTAGTCAACTGCCGCCTGCGCTGCATCGATACCAGCTGCATCAGCCGTGGCCGTCGTCAATTGCTTTGCCATGCTTGCCAATTCCTCATTGTAGGGCTTATATATAGAACTGCGGTTGTAGAGGTGTGCTTGAAAATTTTCACTGGCCAGCATATTTGTTTCTGTTTTTCTTTCGGTTGTGTTCCTTTTTTTGTTTTTGTTTTGGTTTATTTGGCAGCACGTTCTCAGTGGCTGATGTCTGTTTATTTTGATTGTGTTTTTCAGTTGAGCTAAAGTAATTGCCTTTGCTGCGACTGGTGGGTTATAGCTGATCCTTGATATAGCTGAACACTCTTGACAATGATTCTGAAGTTCACAACCGAACTGAACGAATTGTTGCACCTCTTGCTGCTTTTATAAAACCTGTGAGACATACACACACACTCACACAAGCTCGAGAACACACACACACAGACGAGACTAACATAAAGACAATGCCGACGCTCTCACAAATAAGATCGCTCAACCCGCTCGGTTCTCTATTCTCGGTTCTCGATTCTCAGCTGGTTTTGTTTACTCGTAACGATCGATCGTCATTGACTTTAGTAATCGGGAAAGTACAACACACACCTGCAAGCCCAATTCCATCCCCATCATCGGTTTCATAATTAGCTTTGGAGAGAGGCGCGATTCCAAGTTATTTACGATAATTACTTGAATGACGGCTAACTTTAACCAGAGTCGATTTGGTGGGAGTTTCCTTGGTTAAAGTACAACCACTTAACCCCTTTCGAATGGGTTTCGCTTTCAGTTGCATCGATCAGCTCTCTATTTATTATTTTATTTCTTCTGATTCTCATTGTATAAATGAGAGTAAAAGAAAAAACATTAATAATTTGTCGGAAATAAATAAATAAAATAAAATTGTTATACAACTACATTTGCTTTGATAATAGTATTTATAAAGAACGAAAGAAAGAAATACTTTAGCTGTAACCATTTATTTGGTTCAAAATGAACTCTGACTTACCCTACAAAATCATTTATGACATTTAAGTAGGTGAAAATGTACAATTTATAATAATTAATAATGGAGATCTATTTAGATATAAATAATTTATTTATAGTGGTTGAATGTACTACATATTTATAAACATGTATTATAGTACTTTTCGTCAGATTATATTACTGTTAATAACAACCTTCGATATGAATTTAAGGACCTCTCAAATTAGTTTCAGAGTGTCCCTCTATATTATTTTAAATTTGTATTTTGCACAAGCTAAATAGACCTTAAGTGGCTTAGTAGTTTTATCCTCATTGATCACTAATATTATGCTGAGCAACAGCAGGCCTTTCTTGGCCAATACATAAATTGAAATCGCACGAATTATAGATCTAACATGTGATTAGCTAGCGTAAGGGGTATTTTCGTTAAATTTGCGACTTGAGAGGTACAGGTAATACAATTATGCAGTTGACCAATTTAGACGCTAATTATGTGAGAATTGCCGAGGAGATTTCTCTCTCATTAGCTGTAATCAAAGGCAAATTAAATGCAAATTTCATTGAGTAATTTTAGCAATTGCTGTGGGTGTTTTCTTCACCATATTCTTCTTCTTAGATGCAATATGTGCTTATGTATACATGCATATGAGTATTCGTAGAATGGTTTAACGTGTTAATTGCGGAACTGAAACGTGATATGTAAATGACTATTCTGAAGAGAAATAAATATGGTGAGAGAATTGTTGTCGTAGGTCTCATGTATGTGAATGAACAGTCCTATGAAGATGTTGGTCAAGACTGCTGCGAAATTCGAACAAGAAGTGTAATTGACCTTTAATATTTATAAATAATATTATATACATATTATAAACAAAATATTATTTAAAAAAATAATATGGCCTAATATATACACATTTTTTCAATTAATTCAAATTTGTATTCTGCGGCAAGAGTTAAGGAACTGATCTTGGCCAACGGCCTTGACTCTCACCCTGTCAATCTCTATAAATAAAAGCGAAATTACGAACACAAATTTCTCATTTGTCTACAGAATCAATCTATTATTTGATGTATTTAAATATAGAAGTATATACATACATATATCTTTATATATTTTCATTAGCGCAATCAGGGTAACTCTTTTACCAACAAATTATAGCACTCAAGATTTTGTTATTGATATTTTTATATTATCTTGTGACACGGTTATTCAAACTACAACGCGCTCGTGAGATGTTAACTCAAAATAAGACACATTTTGGTTTAAAAGCATAGCTTAGAGGTGTTAAGGTATTCTGCTCTCTATAAAAAGATGATTAATCAGCGACTAACTGAACAGTCTTAAAAATATTTATTTTAAAGTACTTTCAGAGAATTCGTGACGATTATTATTTTTTTTAATTCTTTATTTTGTCAAAAAATATATTCCCTCTTCCTTTCAAAATCGGACATGATCAGATTTTTCAAGTTTCTAATTCGGACTTGAGATATTTTCTTTAACTTTTGGCATAATAATACTTTAAATACCGTTCATTATAAATATTGACAAAAAATGAGTATTGAGGTCATTGAAGATACTATTCTTTAACTGAGCTCAACGCATTATAATTCAGTTATGAGTTAAATTACGTTTTTGGGTTTGGTTAGGGTATAATAGCGAACAATGAGCCAAATTCAAAAACACGCCTTCCCGTTTCGCTGCAAATATAAAATAAAAATGTTTCAGGAATACACGAATAACCAGTTATGGGGGGCAATAATCCAAATTTCAGGAAGCATTTGAGCGACGTCATCAGCGTTCACTGAAAAGCGAAAGGAAATAAACAGTTGTCGATGTTGCTCTTATATGATTTAATTGCAATACGCAACATCGACAACAATTAACTTAAACGGTAATAATTAGGCCTCTTTCGCTATGCCTCTTAGTCTACGTAGACCTCAATGTACACATGGGGCTTTCCTCGTTACCCACCTATAGCCTTATTACAATTCAAACCAATAGACGATCTCTAAACGTACCTTTTTAATTATTTGTGGTTCATTTAGTAACACCTGTGTTCCGGTCGCCTGTGTTGGTTTTTATACCCTGAACCCATTTTCAATGGGAAATCAGGGTATAATGGTTTTGTTAAATGCATGTAACAGGCAGAAGGAGGCGTGGCAGACCCCAGGACGACGAGCTGAGTCGATATAGCCCTGTCCGTCTGTCCGTCCGTCCGTCTGTCCGTCTGTCCTTATGTTTGAACGCGTCGATCTCAGAAGATATAAGAATTAGAGACTTGAAATTTTTTTCCTAGGTCCGTGTATAGCACGCTCATATCGAGTTTTGTTTTAAATATCGATAACTCATCCCGTTATTTTGTTATCGATTAAAAACATTATCGAAAACCAGTAATAAATTTATATCTCCTACATCTTTAAAGGTAGAGTCTACAAAATTTATATGTATACTTATATAAATTTTGTACAATTTCGGTTTTTGTCAAAATTTCCCCCCACCCCTATTTCACCCCCTCGCCCTTACCTTTGTAAAAGGCGTCTTTCAAATACTAGAGACTTGTGCTTTGGCAAATACATGTACGTACATATATCTATGTTATATTTATAATCTCAAAGTTTCATGAATATAGTCCATCCACAAGAAAAGTTATTAAACAATTAAATTCCCATAATAAGCCAACGCTGCAGCCAATGCGTGTTTATGCGTGCGTGCGTGTGCATATGCGAATAATTATTGAAATATCAGTTGCTCCAAGGGTTCAGGGGATCTCGTAGTCGAGCAGTCTCGACTAGAGCTTTCTTACTTGTTTAATTTTCAGTTTTTCTTTGTCAGCTGTTTAATGGCAAAGTTTTTGAGTTTTTCGTGTATTGGACAAGGCCGTTTAACCATATTCGTCAATAATACCATCATGAGCTTCTCATAATGTGACATCAAATTTGTTAGAATGACGAAAAATTAAAAACAAGTTTCGGTCTTGCATTTATCAAAATTGGCATACTGTTGTAGATAATACTCTAGCCAAATTTAAAGTTAATTTAAAGAATTAACAATTTATCGACTTTAAATTAAGCTAGTGATTATAAAAATTATATTATATATATTATAATTATATAATTAAATTATATTATATTGCTTTATGTGGCCTGCGGTGTAGGGGTTCAGGGCATCAACTACTTGGTAAGAGTCCAGTGGTGCTCAGTGGCTCCAGTAGAGCGTAGATCGGTCTGTCTGAGTTTAAGGTGTCTTGTCGCCAGTCCCCTACTATACATTTTGTACTCCCTTTTTACCCAGAGTCCATATGAAATTGAATTTTTTTAAATGAATCTTTTAATCACATACTTTCCATAAGATTTAACTGCTGTCGTCTAGGATACTCTTAGTGTTTTTAGAAGACTTTCTTTTGCAAGAGATTAAGATTGTTAGGTTTAAATAAAAATACATACGTGTTTTGATTAAAGCACGACATGAATTATACGGTAACTTGTTCCAAAATGCAACCAAAATACCAAATTCGACCAATGTCTAACAATAGTGTTATACTTTATTGTTTTTACGGGCTACGATCAATACAATGTTCTCAGTATTTACAATTTCTTATAATATAATTTATTATAACATACATCCTCTTTTCAATCTCGGATTTAATTTGATTTTTATTTATTTTTTTAATTTTTTTTTGTTTTAGTTTTGAATAATAAAAATTATCGCATTTAACTCGGTCCATACTATATATTGAATACACATACATATACATTTTTTTTCCTGTATCTATATCATTTATATTTTCTATTTTTTATGCACTTGATGCCACGTTTTACCTTTTCTCTATCTCTCTTTGTGGTATTCTGTCCTAATTTGTTTTTTGTTTTATTTTTGTCCTATCACACATCGCTAGGCAATAAATATTATTCTTGGTTTGTACTTGGGTAAAGAAACATCGTACCTTTATCTGCAATGATATTGAAAGCTTTATATATAGTTAAATGTAAGTAATTGTATAATTATCACAGCTAACCTGGATTGTTGTAGAAGTTTGCGCTTAGACTAGGTTTTGGTGGAAGTTTGGGTGTGCCATCATGGCTCGTGGCAATAGGAAAGAATTCCTTTGGGGACGAGCGTCTGTTCGGGTGATGTGATGGATGCTGATGCGTATGAGGATGCGAATTCGAATGATGCGGCTGTTGCTGTTGTTGAAAATTATGTTGTCCACAAGCCACGGGCTGTTGAGATTGCGTTAGCGGCCGATGGCGATTTTGATGCTGCTGCTGCAGTTGGTATTGCTGTTGGGGGTAACTGCTGGAACCGTCTACAGTGCTGGGAATGTACGGTGACATGGGCGTCATAGGTGTCATAGGGGATGTGGTTGTCGAGGAGCTTAGTGCTGGCGAGATTGACTGTGGTGGTTGCTGCAATTGTTGTTGTTGTTGTTGGTGCTGCTGTTGCTGCTGTTGCAGCTGCTGATGTTGTAACTGTTGCTGAGGATCTTCGCTACCCGCTGCAATTGTTGCATTGGTGTTGTTATTATTGGAGGTGCCTGACGTATTGACGCCCAGCGATGGTTGTTTGGCCGAATTACGGCGTATCATAATACTGCTCGTGTTTGGCAACAACAAGCTGCTACTTTTGCCTACAAACTCCTTGGGCTGACGACCATAGCCCGCTGCCGTGGAATAGTTGAGGCGAGGCGGTATGGGCGGCGGACTTAGCTCACCATCACGCGGAGGTAGCTGGCAAACGAGACAAATTATAAATAGTTTTTATTAAGTCAGAGTTAATCAAATCTTTTTTTTTGTTAGCTTACTATAGGTGCATCAGGAGCTTGCCGCTTCTGTGCCATATCCGCACAGCTTTCAGTGCGTTCCTTACGTCGAGGCGGTAACGGCGGCGGCACAGCTCGGTACTCCATGCTATTGGCCGCTGGCACATTTACATGCGGGGATATGGGCACCGCACCCGGTTGCGGCTGTCCCTGCTGCTGGCTCTGTTCACTGTTGCAGTAGAAGCCCCCCAGTTGCGGACTAACATCCCCTAAGCCACCGCCCCCAATAAGTGTCACCGTGCTAGCTATGCTGTGCGTAGGACTGTATTGCGTTTGTGCAGCGCGTCCATGGAATGGTGAACGGTTGCTGGCTGGTGGCACCGGCGGCGGTGGTGGCGCTGTCGCCTCATGCCGCGGACTAATCATCAGCTTTGGCAAAGGCGATGGCGGCATCGCCTCTGTATCCGAAATCACATAACAATCGGACATAGTCCAGTTGCTGCCTGTTGCTGATGGCAACTGTTGATCTGATGGCATAAATCCTTCCGTTGGCGCATAGCTGTTATTCTGTGTCCAAACATGCGCTGCCGGCTTGCGGGGCAGATGCGGCGCCGGCGCCACCTCCCCATTGTCTGTAGTGCGTGGTTGCACCGCATGGCTACTCCAGCTATGCCCGCCATTACGCTCCGGTATTATGACCGGAGCGAACACTGAATATGCGTGCGGATTATGCTGGGGACTTTGATCTCCAATACTGCTGCTGCTGCTGACTGCTGTCGTTGTAGTTGTTGTAGTTGTTGCTGCTGCTGCTGCTGCCATTGGAGGAGGATCCACATTAGCTGCCACATTGCTAGGCAACTTGTTACTGTTGTTATTTTGGTTCTGCCGCCGTGGTTTGATGCCCGGCGATTTGAGCGGAATGTTTGGCCATTTGCGGGGCTACAAAGAAAATTATTTTAATGAATTCATATTGTCCCATTTGTGGCAGCTTTTAGACTTACAAATTTTGGTATTGTTTTACAGGCGCGCGGCTCAATGCGTAGACTCTCATTGTACAAGTAATCCGACATCTCCTTGTCCGACATTCCATTAAAGGGATCGAGCTGCTCGAAAAAGTGCCGTATGGTTGGCTCTTCGTTCAGGCAATAAGGCTGATTCTGATATTGTTGTATTTCGCCAATTATTTCCGACACTTTTCGCCGCTTTGAGAAATTTATAAGCTCTGTGTTGGTCAACAGATCCGGATTACCCTCCTCCAAATGCAATATATTTGTGAGATAGCGACCGAAAAATGGCACACAGGGTGGATTAATGGAACGTAAACGCTCCTGATATTTCTTTAAATGATCCTCGCTCAGCTCCCTGCATTCATCCAAGAACTTGCGGTGCCGTTCCGGGAGTCCATTGAAAGTGGCACGTAAACGAAACACAGCCGCGGTGCCCATCGCTGCCACAATCGAGAGTATGCCATTGAAATTGTTTAGCTCCAGCATTACCATCATCACCTCAATGGCTCGTTGCATGATGGCCAGGCGTTCGTCATAGTTCTCTGCCTCCATGATAGACTTCTCAATCCAACGCGTCACATTTGTCGTATGCTTCATGATCTTTAGCAGATTGGGACTCTTTAGCTCTTTATCCTTTTTGGTCCAGGGCGACCCAACCAATTCCGATGGCTTTACATTCTTGTACATCTCAAACTCCAGTAAAGTGAGTTGACGCGCCACCTCCAGTGGATGTAGGGTAAGCAGCGTTATCTCATCATCAGGCACATTCAGATGATATTCAATGGGCGGTGGATCATGACCGTAGGCATAAACGATCTTTTTATTGCTTTGTTTATTCTACAGAAGAGAGAAACGAGCATTTAATTAAAATATTTATCAAATTGGATAAACCATTAGACTTAAAATCTGTAGGTCAGATTGGTTAAGCCCTATGTTTTATGTATATGGAACGTATATATCTAAGACTTATCGTATGATCAACAGATGCAACGCTGCAACCAATATTTACCTTGCGATCGACTATCTTGCGCACCGAGTCAACCCATTTGCGCATGGACTTGCTGTTAACTTCATTGAGAAACTGCAACAGTCTTTCCAGCAATGTTGGGTCCTTCTCAAAATCATAGAAATGATGATCCACCCAATGCCTTAGTACATTTAGCACACGAAATTGCACTGGTTGCACAAACTCTTTGCGATACCGTTTCCAATCCTCACGCTGCGAGTTCTTTAACATTTTATCGCTATCTACCGTTGTGGCAGCAGCATCCTTATCGAGATCGGCATTGACATTACTGCCAATATTATTTGAATGCTGCTGTTGCTCTTGATATACCAAACTGGGCTCAGGTATTTCGAAACGTTCCATTAGCAGAGTGAGCAGCTGCTGGGGCGAACAGAAATACCGATATGTGGTGAGGAAGGTGCGCACAAATGTTGGATCCGCATAGATGTGATAGGTCAGCCGTTCGATTAGTTTGCACAGAGTAGCGCCCTTTATCATTGGTACCACCCCACTGTCCCGTTCTTCAAGCACAATATTCTCTGCACTGTCGGGCACAGCAAATTTGTAGATCTCCGGGCTGGGCATGCGCAACGGATGCTTGCGCTCAATATCCTGCAGTATACTATCCAATATGCGATCTAGCATTGACTTTGTGTTCACCATTATCAAATCGGCCATCCAATCGTTTTTGTGTTGTGCATTCTTAGCTGACAAAATAATAGCAGGATGCATCCGTGTGATTAGCTCAAAGCTATGCTTCAGCTCTTCCGTGTCCGCACGATCGTTGATCTCCACACGACGCATAAAGAACTTTTCTTTTAAACGAAAGTCATATGCAGTCGCACCTGCCGAAGGGGTTTGCTTCTTCGTATTCGCTTTGCAGAGCACCATCAAACCATCAAAAAGAAACACCTTACGCTCGCTCCAGATACGTTTCCCGGAGCCGAGTTTGCTGAGAGCGTCCTCTGCGAAATATGATTGAAATTAGTAAAGTACTAATGGAAGCGTAGCTTCCACATACCCCTTATAAACTCGTTGCAATTGAGACCCACGTCCTTGTCATCCCAGTGCTCCACTTTCAACTGCAGCTCACGTGTGCGTTCGATAGCCATTTGTCGACGCACGCGACCGCTGACCGGCAAAAGTCGCTCCTTCGACAGATTGGCCATCACCTTCTCGAGATCGCAGTGCAGTGGATGAAGCAGTCCCTGCACCTGGGCAAAGCTCTCGATGTCATCTTGTGATGTGCTGAGATCCATCAAATGTTTGATATAATCAAAATAAACAAATGCATGGCAAATGGGCACCAGTAGCAGCTTGGGCAAATAATACTTGACTGCCTCTCGAAAACCATGACCCGCCGACATTAACGACAATGCATCAGGTTTGGCCAGTAGATTACTGAGTGCCTCTCGTGATGCCGCCGATGTTACATCGTGCGCGTACTTCTTATACACATCGAACTCCTCGGCCTCAGCTAGCTCCTCGAAACAGCTCGCCACGCATGGCGCATTCTGCTCCTGTGACATCTCAATAACATCCTCCAGAGAGCCCAACAGCGTCACAGTCACCTCGTATATATCCATAATGTTGGAAAATATAGGTTCGAGTTCCTTTGGATCACGCGCTATTTTCACCAGCTCTTCGCGAAAGACACGTATAATCATATGCAAATCCCTTTGATATTGTTTCTCATCATTGATAAGCTCCTTTACCGTCTCCTCATATGTGGCACTTGCTCGTTGCGCCGGCAACGACAACGGACTTGGCAGGACATTGCATTTGAGCTCCTCGCCGCTACTATTGAGCATGTCTAGTATCATGCCATCCGCGTTCAAGACCACTTCAATGTCCTCCTTAACAATCTCGCTGTGTGCAATACGGCAAACATAGTCGGCGGCCGTTCTCAATATGTCAGACGAAATACATTCCAGCACAGCGACTAGATATGCCGATACTGAGCTATCAATTTTATACTGAAGGACATCCTTCTGCAACAACGTATGGACACGTTCTGTTGGAAGCAGACATTTGCGTTTCTTCGAATTGATTAGCTCGTTGATCTCCTTAAGGGCGCGCTGGTCGAGTGGCGATGGGAATGATTTGATTACTTTAACTTCCACATCCTGCACTGAATGCGGCAAGGGTTTGGCACACAGCTTGGCCAACAGGCGTACGCACAGATGCTCCACATATAGCAAGGCATCTTCTTTGGCTGTTACGCGCGGATTCACCTGCTCCAGCACCTTGCGCAAAGATTGTATAAATAACCCGCGCCAACGGGCCGCATTCTCGTCCTTTGTGAAGTCATAGCCATCGGTGTCCTGCACGGTGGAGGCAATGCCAACGCTAATTCCATGGCTGCCAACGCTGGAAAACATTTCTGCACTCCACACACACACATGCGTATACACACACACACATGCACATGCACACGCATACACACACGCGCGCTCTTGTTATTAGTCAACAGAAACGTCTTTTTCGGGTAGCAACATTTTCTAGCATTTGTTTCTCTTTTTGTTTGGTTTTCTTCTTTCTTATTTTTGCTTGGTGATTTACGCTGCGCGTTATGTATTTGCAATCGTGATGGAACAAAAACAAAACTTTGTTTTTACATGCTATACACACAATTTTTTTCAATATATTTTCTCTGCAAATTCTGCTTATTACGGTGTTAAGTTAGCTGCAATACTCGTTTGTCAGTGCTGTAAAACGCCACTCATATATATTCGATAAGCGATAACATACATGCTGTGTTGCATATTTTAAAATGTAATAAATGCATTTAATAAAGTTAATTTAACAATATATAATTTCCATAACAGAATCCAACTCTTAAAATCTGTGTGTATAATTTTTTTTGAATGAGAATTATGAAAATATAAAATTAATATTAACAATTTGATTTGAACATTTTAAAGTTGGCCCAAAATGTAATTATTATTTTTTTAACCATTCTACATTCTCAATCCAATCGCGATAATAGAAAACTCTAGTGTGATGTGTAAATGAATTATTCAATTCGCAATTGTCTGCCCTAGAAACAACCTCAAAAATTTCAAATAAACAGTTAGTAAGATGCGGAGTAAATAACGGACCGCCAGAATCATTTGGGCAAACATCTCCAAAGTTTTCTTTCGGCTTTGTACAGATGAATCGATCCGCTTTCAGCTCTTCTTCAGGCTTTGCACAATGTTTAATATCCACAGAAACCAACTGTCCCGATTGCAAAGTATCCGCTAGCTGGTTCGGTTTTACAAAGCCCCAACCAGGAACTTGATACTCTCCATTGGCACTTAAAGGATTCTTCGGTAAGCAAGCAGGCTTCACCTTATGTGATATATTTGCCGGTTCTGACAATTTCAATAGAGAAATATCTGCTATATTGCCATTATAGTCGGGGTGTACAATTTCTGTGGCATAATATCGTGTACCAGATGACATTCTTTCATGGGCACCCAGTCGAACAAAAATCGGACTATTAAGATTTACTATATAATATATATATAAAATAATTCTTTTAATTATAATTGACTTACAATCCTGACTCGTTTCTTCTCGCATCGAAGCAATGTGCTGCCGTTAGTACATACATTTGATCTATCAATGTCCCTCCACAGTCAGGGTATAATGGTTTTGTGAAAAGTATGTAACAATTAAGTTCCCATAGTAAGCCACCACTGCAGCCAATGCGTGTTTATGCGTTCGTGCGTATGTCTATGTGTGTGTGTATGTGCGAATAATTATTGAAATATCAGTTGCTCGAAGGGTTCAGGGGATTTTTTAGTCGGGCAGTCTCGACTAGAGCTTTCTTACTAGTTTACTTTATAGATTATGCATTATAGACCGTGCCCAAAAGGATCGATTAAATTAGGTATTCATATCATCGCAAACCAAAAGGCCTAAAGATATACATATATAGAGAAACAAGTAAGAAAGCTGCAGTTGAGCGTTACCAACTGCAGAATATACATTGCCAGATCCATATCCTGATATTTTATATTTCAATAAGCGTAGTTATATTCGGCATATCTGATTGATTTGTTAAAAATTTCTAGCCTGTGTAACCATATAGTCAAATCCGTTTAGCCACGCTCCCCCCTGTGAGCTATTGTGGATACTTAATTTTTGATCGATCTTTATAGGATAACTCACGTCTAAAATTTGGGCTTATCAGATATGTATTCCAAATTTCCCTATTTGGCCCTAGCACTTCAACAATTATGCTTTCGATTTTCATACTTGCCCGCCCCTAGTGCGCGAATCGACGAAGTCTTGACACTTTATAATTTGAAGGTATATAACAGTATATGTTATTTCATGTCTCTAGCTTCAATAGCGACTTAATGGCTTAAATTCATTGTGACAGACGGGCGATCAGCAAGACGGACATTTTACTTTTTGAATGAGTATTAACATTCTTAAACATATTTGTTTTAGTAGTGCAGTATATGGTGTGTCATGGTTCTGATAACTTTTTTCCAATCCTAAAACTTTGCATTTCTCTGTATTTATACCCTGAACCCATTGAAATGAAGGTATAATGGTTTTATAAAAGTATTTAACAAGCAGAAGAAGGCGTGGCAGACCCCACAAAGTATATATATTTTGATCAGGGCGACCAGCTGACTCGATTAAGCTCTGTCCGTCTGTCTGTACAGTTGTCCGTCCGCCTATCGGTATGTACGCAATAGTCAACTTAACGGGTATAGTCAATATTAAATACTTACGCTTTTCATATTCAGGAACAATTGTCTTTTGCTTTTCCGGACAGTGAACTGTATACGTTGTTTTCTTGCAAAAGTTTACAAAATCAAAGCTACTGAGCCTTGTAGCTATATACTTTACCTCTTAATATGAACACAGTCGTCACTGGCAGATATTGTATAGCTTGAATAAGAATTACAAAAAGCTATCGATAATAAAAGTAATATTATCCTAATATTGCAACACATTTTATAGATCGTTTGCCGATATGTCGATGTCATCTGATTCAAGTCTTGACCAGTACTGGGCGTCATGGTCTCAATATTATTTAAATAAACCCAATGCCGAAAGTGCGAATAAGGTTCCGTCTTTAAAAGAAGACTTTAGACTGCACTAGAAAGAGCTGCATTAAATATGCAAGAAAAACAAGTAGGAAGGCTACAACCGGGCGTTACCGACTAAGAATACTCATTCACGTTATCCGATTTGAAACGCACCCAATTGGTATATAATAAATATATATATATATATATATATATATATATATATATATATATTATTATTATTATTATTTTTGTGCAAATAGTTTTTTTCTCTTATCCGATTTGCCACGCCCCACGTGGCACATAATTTTTGGACAGTTCTTAGAACGAATCGTAGGTAACGTAACTGTACAGTCAAAAAATGTGCAACCTAAAGGATGTTTTTTTTTTTATAAAGGAGGTTATTCTCGATAGGTTAGCGATTATCAGTAACTCAACTGTCCAAATTTAAAGCTTCTAACTGCTTGCCACGCCCCAATGGACGTAACCCAAAGCCTTTTGGTCTTGGGAGGTTAACCCGAGTATACATACCAAATTTTAGGTCTTTAGCTTCAATCATGCCCAAAATATATAATATTTTGAAAAATCTACATATGTACGTATATGTATTTAGATCCGTTTTACCACGCTCTTAATGGGAGTGTGTTAAATTTTAGTTTTGTAAAATTCTTCTAGTTTTAAAACTGTAAAATGTACAGTTTTACCCGTCCCAATGGGCGTAGATATATCCGATATACTTCTTTGATCTTGGGTATTCAACATGAGTAGACATTCTAAATTTTAGCTTTCTAGCCCTTCAACCAATATTATATCGGGAAGATATGTTCCTAATGTAGGTTCTCAAACTTGAATATCGTCAAAAAAAATTCATTCATACAGACAAGACGGTCATTGCGCAAAACCAATATACTCATTTCACTCTCGTGAATAAGTATAAAAAGACAGCCAAAAAATAAATATACGAAATTAGCTCATCTTTCCAGCGCAGCAACTTCTTCAGCATTATTCATCACCCACCATTTGATAAGTAGATTAATAAAAATTATAAAAAACTTGACAAGCGGAAATGGTGTATCTTGGACAGTTTTGTAATTGCAGGAGTGGAGTGTCTCATACTGAGGATTATGTCCTAATTTACTACCGACTCTATATACAATCACTATTAATACGAATTATCTCTCCAGCAGCGTGCCTCGTTGCTTTTTCTGTGGAGGCGCGATTTCTTCGCCCTTGGGCTTCGCACCAAGATCCGTCAGTTTGCCACCTTTGCGTTGCAGTTGCTTCTCAATGATACGGGCGTTGTTAGCATAGCTATCGGCGATCTCACGCTGCAATAAATATCAGTTAAATATTTTGTACAACAAATTCTTATATATTATTTGGCTCACCGCCTCAATTTCATCCTCTTCCTCGTCTATTGTGGATACGGTTACCGAGCTAAATTTGCCCATATTCTTGGTGTGGCGCGTGACCATAACTTTTTTGCCACTGGCATCCACAATGCCGGAATCCAGGCCGCTGGGAGAAACTGTTGCTGCCATTAATGCTGGAGCCGTTCCCACATGGGTTGTGCTGATATTGCTGAAGTTTTTGTTGTTACCTGCTTTGGCTTTTGCCTCCGCTGCCAGAAGCTGGGCGAGTGGTTTTTCTCCTTTATTCTTATGCAAGGCATTGCTCATGACAAAGGTCACATGGGAGTCGGAATCATGGCGATAGTATAATGGCAGATTACAGTTGCGACACTAAAAAGTACATTATGTTTAAATGTAATTCGTTATGTATAGGGTAAAAGCTTTTTTGAGTAGATAAAAGATTACGTGTGTTGACTGTGCTAAAATCTTTTGCTTTTGTTTATCATTTTATCATTACATAGACTCCATGGACTACGAGTCTCACATTCAAGTCCTAGCTATTCACTCATTGACTGTTTTTACTGTGATTGTTTACCCTTACATTATAACGGTACTGCTTTTCAATGCCCTTTCCTTTGCGTCGTATGTAGATCATCTTAGGCGCTGGGTTGTAGGTCAGCTTATTAGCGTGTTCATTGGCATCAATAACACGAGCATTGTCCGCCTCGCGCAACGGCAACTGTTCTAATGTGCAATCTATTATAAACATTTGTATATTTAATATAAACATTTACTCATGCAAAAACACATTGCTACGAACCCAAAATCAGCGACATTTTGCTACACAAGCAATAGTATATATTTAACGGTTTCTCTTCGTTATATTCCTCTTGATCTTTTGTATCTGAGCAGACAATGCTACGTGATACAACTTTCGGCATATTGTTTTTCTATTATTGAAACAACAAAATGTATTTGAATCAATATTTATATTTTGGTCACAACGACAGCCAATTTTTATTCTCAGTGTTGGTTAAGTACACACATATATAGTTCTCGAAAGAGATGTGTTCGCTCGACAATCGACTATCGATAACTTTACCACATTGTTGCTTGCTGTTTTTGCATTACTTATGTATATTATTGTTAGCAAGTGTTTTACATGAGCCCTACGATTGAGCCTTCACTAAAAGAAATTGCGGAATTGTGTTACAACAAATTTCGTGATTTGCCAAAAACTGGGAAGCCCGTAACAAACCAATGGACAGTTTTAGCAGGCATAGTGCAGTACGACAGAGGAGCACAAGCCGGCAAAGTTGTTGCTCTTGCCACAGGGTTGGTACGAATTGAAGAAAAATGAATTTTTGTTTATGTTTATACAGATTTCATTAGTACTAGGTGTATCGGCGCAAGTAAACTTTGTAATAGAGGCTATATACTCAATGATTGTCATGCTGAGGTGTTAGCCCGTCGCGCCTTTTTGCGTTATTTGCAAAACGAGCTCCTGAATGCAATGACGCAAACGGGAGATGTGAACCACTCCGTTTTTATCTGGAAGCCATCAACAGGTTGCTTTGCGCTCAACGAACAGCTGGAGTATCATTTTTTAAGTACTCAAACGCCGTGTGGCGATGCATGCATTGTAGCCGACGATGCATGCTTAAGTGGAGTTCCAGCAAAACGATCGCGCTTAGACTTGGAGACTGCGCAGCCACTAATAAATAAATCTTCGGTATACACGGGTGCTAAACTAATAAATCGACCGACTAATCCCCTTTTTGATGACATGTTGCAAACACCAGCACAGCTGCGGACGAAACCGGGTAGAGGCGAACGCACTTTGTCTATGTCATGCAGCGACAAATTGGCACGTTGGAATGTGCTCGGAGTTCAAGGGGCGCTGCTCGACATGGTGATAGACAAACCCATATACTTTATTAGCTACAACTTTTGCTGTACCGAGGCAAATCCTGAAAGCCTGGAACGTGCCATTTACCGTCGCTGGCAGGGCAGAGAGTGCAATCTGAAACGCTATCAACCGCAGCAGCCATGCATACGCGTAGATAAGAATTTAACCTTTGAGCTGGCGCAGCGCATGGATTGGCAGCCAGCGCCCAGCAGCTTGATATGGGCGCTAGTGCCAGAGTTGCTAAGGTGAAGTCTTCAAATTTTATTTAATATATTTATAATACATATATATATTTATATATATAGACCATTTGAGATTGCAGTAAATGGAAAACGTCAGGGTGTCACTAAACAGAGGCTAAACACAATGCAAGCCGCATTGGAAGTGAGTAAATATAAATTATTCATAAACTTTATGGATTTGCTATCAGGCTGCTCAGAAGTACGTGAAAAGCTGGGCCTGAAATTAGAAGAGGTTAAATACTTGAGTTACTCCGAGCTAAAAGCCTTATCAAAAGATTATCAATTAGCTTGGCAACAATTGAAAAGTGAATACTTTAAGTTATGGACTACCAAGCCTAAGGAGCTGCTCGAATTTAGAAAACAACCGGTAAATGATTTCGAACTCAGCAAAAATACCTAAGGAGTTGAGTTTTGTGATAATTTCGTTACTTTATAAAGTCATAAATTTTAATTCATTTTTTTAACACTTGTCCTTAATATTAATAAGATATAATAAAAAAAAAAAAAACATGCAAAATGACTATAAAAATTGTACATTTACAAATGTTCATAAAAGTGATCTGCTATATAAATTTCTATATATTTTCAAGCAGATATGCTAAAGCTTCATCATCCGACAGTCGAACCGAGATTTTTTCTAGCCTTATTAAGGTTACACGGAGTAAGAAATGTATTTTTTAACACAAGGGATGTATCTTTCTTGATCGAGAAGGAGAGATGTGTGCTGACGCTGATTTACAGCTAAATCGGATACCAGTTTTCTCTGCTGGCGGCGTTAACATATTCTATGGGTAGCAGTCCAACTGGCCTTGATGTTGACGGTTTAGGATTCGAAGATAACAATGAACTTATTGTTATAGCCATACTGGACAAAAGCCATTTGGCATGTTTACAATATGTTTATATTACATTTTGCCAAGCTCTTTTTTATGTAAAGGTAAAAGCTTCTCACATTGGTGCTGGTTTCATCTTTTTTCTTCGGGCTCAAGTGGAAGTCTTCCAATTTATCATAAATCCAACCCGAAACGGCAGATGCGCGACGATTGTTTTGTATGTAGATCTCAAGCAGTTGCTCTTAGGCGAATTCAATCACAACTACAATATTAGGGATTTATAAACATCGGAGCAAAATGGAGCAAAAATTTTTGTTTACATTAGTTTATATACACTTTGCCCTATAATGACACATAATTACTTTTTGGCACAACTTGGCACAACATTAGTTATAATCCACAACAGACGAGTTAGCAAATTAGCTTTTTTCTACTTTTGGACAGCTCAAATAAATGTACACAAAAAGAACATTAACGAACAAGAATAACATATTTTTTAACACAAATATTCTACATACCCTGGACTTTCTTTTCCATAATTTTAGTGAAAATAGCAAAAGCCACAATAATTTTGTCACGCTCGCACGCCAAAAATCAAAACAATTAAAATCTTTGGATTCATCTTAGTCAAAGTATATACTATTCAAGCTTTTTAATTAAAATAGATTTACTTTCCATACAAAATTTGAATTTTCGTCGAAAAATCGGCTCGCTGGCCCAATGTGCTTTAGCAGTAGACTTATGCTTCTCTTGTATAAATTGAGTAAAGAAAAACGACATTTTGTGAATAAATTTATAAACAGGTAAATTGGTATAATATATATAATAAAAGGGGAATAAAAATAATAATAGTTAGATGGATTAGATAATATAGTAAGTAATAAATCTTTTATGAAATATATATAGAGTATACAGTATATAAAACATATACATATATATGATAAACAAATGTTACCAGATCACAATGGAAATAGTTCGCGGTGCAGATAGCTGGCAAACGAATTTAGATTTTTCCATGCCATTCGCCTCCTTCATTACAAAACTATCTTCGTAACCCTTAACCAAGGTCACGCAATTTAAATGTTCATTTGTATTATTTGACTCGTTCACTTCATTCGCATGCTTAACGAGGAAATTGATATAATTGGGTCTTAATCCGGTTGCTATCGACACATATTCCTTTTGGCCCAGCCGGTTGATGTCCACCCAATATTCGTGACTCGCGTTCAGGTGTAGTCCCAGAACTAATTACTCCTGATTTGTTTTCAAACTAATGGGATTGCCACCCTTCTTTCGACACTCTTGCACAGCTTGAAACCAATTGAGCTCGTCGTTGGCAATGTAATAAAAGTTACGACCGATCTGCTCGAAGGGCATTAGCTGTGCATGATGTTCTGCTGGTACAATATCAACTTGCTTGTACTCCGATCGGGTTCTAAAGTTAAATGCTATTCCAAATTCTTTGAGTTAGTACAAGTTTCATAATTTATGTCTAATTTTCTCACCTTCAATCAGAAGCATTTGCGTCAGCCATTCAATCAGTACCATGCAGAAAACCATATATCGAGACATCTTGTATGATGCACCCTCCACTTCTGCTTGCTTTAAAGTTATAAATCCAATTACGTAGTTATTTGCTCATATCAAGCTTCAAATATGACTAAGAATTATTTCTGATATTCGCTATGTATAATTATACCCTGAACCCATTGAAAATGGGAAATCTGGATATAATGGATTTGTTGAGATGTATGTAACAGACAGAAGGAGGCGTGGCAGATCTCACAAAGTATATATATTCTTGATCAGGGCGACGAGTTGAGTCGATTTGGCCCTGTCCGTATGTTTGAACGCGTCGGTCTCAGAAGATATAAGAGCTAGAGACTTGAAATTTTGTTTCCTAGGTTAAAAGTTTCATGAAGAAAGTCCATCCACAAGAAAAGTTATTAAACGATAAGTTCCCATATGTCCCATATGCGTGCGTGCCTATGTGTGGCTGTGAGTGCGTCTGTGTGTTTGTTTCTTGTGTTAGCATGCATATCAATATTTTAATTGGTTGCTACAAACGCCGATTCTGGGTTCCATAGCTGTTAAGCGGATATCGTTGTTTCAATCTAATTTGAAGCCATTTAGAAAACTATTGCGATTGCATTTACCACGTTGGCTTATGATATATTTATGAAGTCCGCCTAAAAGCATGCTACCGTTTTCTTGTTCTTAAGCACTCATAAAATGTGATGTAAATGTATGTACTATATGTATTCCAAGTGACTCGAAGAAACTTGATATTCGAAACTGTTGTATGGAAGATACGAAGAATTTTCGGTCAACATGCAAGAATCACATTTTTGTTGGAAAGTGGAAATATATGATTCATACAATAGCGATCCGATGTGGGCGTGGCTAACAAAACAAGTAAGAAGGCTCTAGGCGAGACTGCTCAACTAGGAGATACCCTGAACCCTCCAAGCTGATATTCTAATCATTCTCCACACCCTTATGCACACATACATACAGATGCATCCACACACACGCAAAAGACCGCGCTCTGCTAACTGCGCAGTAAGCAGCGACTACGCTTGAGCAATATTATAAGAATTTACTTTTTGAGTAACTTCTCTTCTAGTAGGATCTTCATGAAACTTTTAGAACGTGATCATATGGTTAAAATGTGTAAGCATTCCAAAGCAGATATCTCTAGTACCAGCAATACGTTTTTTACAAATAGGGGGCGAAGGGGGCGTAGTATCCAAAATCTGTAAATTACTAAATCTTTGTATCAAATGTATCAAATGTATTTAAACAGTAAATCTGAAGTCTCTAGGTCCAAAAGTATTCAAATTAGGCTGAAAAACAATATCAATTTATCGATTATCCTCAATAAAAAGATATGGAATGAGTTATCCAAAAAATATTATAAACTTGTATTGAGTATGATATATACGAGTCTACATGGACGTTCATACGGACGGACAGACGGGCTATATCGACTCAGCTCGTCGTCCTGATCAAGAATATATATACTTGATGGGGTTTGCGATGACTTCTTCTGCCTGTTACAGACTTTTCCCAAAAGAATTATTATTATTATTATTATTTTTTTTTTTATCCTGTTACTGTCTCTACCCGAGTAATAAAACAGCAGTTGTTCATTTTCCATATGCAACATCTAAAATTAATATATTTGTTATGTAATACCATTAAGTGTAATCTAATTGTCATTTAGCAAACGTTTAACAAACAAACGTACAACGCACTCACACAGGTGCAAGACGAAAGCTACAAGCAAATACGCATATAATATATCTATATATGTAAATATATATATGTATAACAAGAGGTAAAAGTGTTTGCTTTATCAAGTAGTACAAACTAAAACGAGACTTTAACAATGTGCATCTGATGCTCTGCTCAGCGCGTGGGATAGTTGGGGGTATATATGGTGTGGTGGGTGAGGTATGTGGGTCAGAGCAGCTCATCCGATTCGCAAATGCGGTGCACGCTGTGTACATGAAGGTTTTTTATATACAAATATAAGCAACACGACTCGATTCATTTCGATTTTGACTTTGACCGTAAGACCCTTTCAATCCAATCATCAATGTCCGCCAATTTCGCGCAGCTCTCGTTTGCCGAGCGGCAGTGGAGGGCGGAAATTGTTGATGACCTTGCCATTGAACTCATTGCAAGGACACTCCTCCTTGACGTCGTAGGCATTGAGGTTGCGCATGGCATTCAGTTGATCGTCAGACACTTGAATGGGCGTCTTAAACACAATCCAAATGACGCACTCGGAGCAAGGCGGCGTGGTCAGTGAGCCCTCATATGTCCAATACGTATGCACATCGGGCAGCAGCTTGCCAGGATCGCAGCCCTGGGGCAGAGTAACGCGATCGCCCTTGTGCAGAACAAACTGCAACAAGCTGCTCACTTTGTCCAGCTCTGCGTGATGATTGCCCGGCTGTAGGAATACACCCAACACGGCCAGTCCATCAGGTGCGGCAGCTGCCTCGCCGAAGGACTTGTACTTTGTGGTGTTCCAGTGCACGAGATGCAGCTCACCCGAATAGGAGACGCCGTCGACCGTATGCTCCGACCCCTTCGAGTTGGTGCAGCCCCAATGGCAATGAAACTGTTCCAGTTTAAAGATCTGATCGCCCAGCGGTCCTCCAGTTAGCTCAGAATTGGCGCCGTTGACATCCACGCGCCAGCAGTAGCCTGCAATGATATATAAGAAGCTAACTAGTACTTCGCTTTCTACCCGATTCAATCTAAAACCCACCTGGATTAACCAGACTCTTTGTGTCCTCCGGCACATATTTCCATTTGAGCGGCGACACCTTCAAATCACTGCCCTTTTTGGCACTCGAGGGAGTGATGTCCACGGGCGACTGCCGATGTCCCGATGCCTGCGGGTAGTCCTTGGCCCAGTGTGCGGGTCCTGCGGAAGAAACCATGCGTTAATTAACAGCTCCTTTAGTCAAAGGTAATTTAGATTAGTTGCTACCACATGTTACAATCATTTATTAGCTCGACTTAATCATTGTTTAATTACGATCTATTTATAAAGGCTATTGTAGACAATTTGTCATAGTACCAAAGAATAATCAAGAAGAATAAGCAATTACTTTTCGCTTAGCATGTGGCAGTGAAGCTAAGGGTAAGAGTAAACTCTATAAATTAATAGGAGCTGTCAATCAAGGTTAAGATCCCCTTAAAAAGCCGTGCACTTACAGCCATTAATATGTTAAAAAAATTACACCAATACATATTTTCTCTAATATTTACAGTTCGTATTAGTTTTCATTAAAGCGTAATGTCCAGAGAAAATCAAACTAATTTTGAAGATTGATTTTTTTTGCGTTGACTTCGTGTCGGAATTTTAAAAGCTCATATATTATGTTGAATGCTGAAATCCTTTGACTAAGAGAACTTTGAATATGTCGGAACTTATAGTCTGAGAATTTATTTCCGTCGGTGCACAGTTTATGGAAGAAATGCGATGTCTAAAGCATTTTACTTAGGAAACTTATCTTAATATCTCAGATCCTGTCTAAGACTTGCGCCAAACTTTAATTCCCTCGGTGGAAGGAATTATAAGTCGAAAAACTTTTACGTAGATTTGTCTACATATTTCATTTCTACACTAAAGCAGTTAAAGCTTTTATAGAGCTCTTGTCTTTAATGATAAGAATATCTACGAAGACAATAATAACACGTATATTATTTGAAGGCTTGAGCATTTTAATATCTAGGAAACTTAATATTTAAACAAATGCTGTCATCTAGCCTTATAGCTTGGCAAATATTGAAAAAATAAATAAAAAAAATATATATATAAAAATAAAAATAAAGCTAACAAATAAAAAATTGAGTTAAAAAATGTTGGAAATCCTAATAGAAGCAAAATCTATTAAAATTGATGAATTACTTAAAAATCGTAAAATCGGCTTCAAATATCAACAAACCCGTTTTCACTATTAAATTTTAGCTCGGGTTCGTGTTCGCCTATTCTGCTGTTGGCAGATGTTAATTAGAAGTTCATAAAAAGTTAAATAAAGTAAATGTCAACTGCCTGCACAAAATTTGTGGCAAAGGAAAATATGACTAATCTTTACATCCATCTGCTTGACATAGAATTTTTATCTTGACACAGAGCAACCAGCAGAGACAGCAGTATAAAATGATTATTTACTTTATCATAGTCTTTTATTTTCTTTTATTATTTTGCTATTGTTTGCCGCTGCATTTGCGCTTTTAATTATTGTCGTGTGCTGCAGCACAAACAAACAGCAACATCAACTCAAATATTGAATGGGATGAGGCGTCACGTGCTGCGGCATAGTGACTGACTAGGGCTAGAGCCGCTCAAGTCATGTGAGTGACACAGAGTGGAGCGTAACAGACAAAAGTGGGCGGCATGTGGTAGTGGGCGTGGCAACTGATATATCTTGCAAATACCAATGTGAAGGTGCACTTAATCTGGCGTTCACCTTATCTAAGACAACTCATTTGTCTTTTTGCCTGTGCCACATGATACATCATTGGGGGCTTAAAGTATTTAATTCTTGTGATTTCCAATAAATCATGTACGTATTTATATCAGTGCATTTTCCCTATCGACATACAGGCAGTGCTAATTATGTAATCGGCGGTGTAGAAAAGCCCGACAATGAGCTTCAAATGTGCAAGCAATACGCAATTTCACCATGTGACAGGCAAATTGATAGGGTGTACAAATGCATATATATTGATATATATAAAAATATGTATATATATATAGACAAACAAAAAATCACGTATACGCCGTGAGAGCCGCTATGCAAATGGAGCTCCCAATATAAAGCCATTTTGAAGTTTGCCATTAGCACATGTGACACTGCATTTTCGAATTTTTGCTTTACGCGGATCAGTTATGCAAACATCCCAGGTAGATGTGGATGTGATAGTTGTGATATCACGCATATGCCAGCTAGGCTAACGCCTAAGTATAACTTACTATGCGAAAACGTCGATAATTTAATTCCGGGCGATCAGTTTGGGCTTGCCAGCGACACTTGACAGCGAAAATAAATAAAGTAAATAGTAGCAAAGGTTACTTGTAGCTGTAGAAGTCATGCAGCCATATGACTAAATCAATGATCCTTTGTATGAACTGAACTCTCTCTTTCCCTCTCTCCTGACAAATAAATATAGTGTATTGAAGTTGCTTCGATCATCACGAACTAATAGAGTTTCCATGCATTTGAAACACGTATATACATATATGCAAAACACGTATACGCCGTGTAGACTTTCATCAAATGCTTAATCTCGTTCACTCATTGAAGCTCTGTTAATAGCACTAGATATATCCGGCCAACAGAAGATAAAACAGCGAATCGCTGGGATTGCCATTTCGGGTCTATCTGAAGAGGTGCATCACACACCTGTCGTCTGTATGTATGCGCCATTTGTGGCAGCTGTTATTGAATTGTTGTTGCAATCCTCTTACATATCCCAATTTTTGTGCTCTTATTTGCTAACTTCATTTCATATTTTATTTTTTATTGCATCAGATTTTGCGCAATTTCAGTCAACAGCTGCCGCTGCTGCGGCTACTGCACTGACTGGCAAGCATTATGCACATTCAGCTCTACAGATCCACACGCTATATCGGATAAGCAACGGAGAAGTAAATGCGAGCGATAGCCACAGAAGTCCCGGCTCAACTACCCTGTAGAGATGATTTGATGCTCTAATTCACTTACCTCAAGGAATAAGGAGTATTTATTGCAAATGTATGTATAGCAATAAGACTTTCGAAATTGTTTTAGTCTTAGCTCGATGAGTGCTGCGAAACGAATGAATGAATTTCATGCCCTTTGAAAAATGATCAAGTTTTTGTACGTGCGCAAACATCCGCTACGGAAATGCACGCGCCTGTAATTTACAATACTGATTGATGTAGAATCTTGTCAGATTAACAACATTAGCAGTATATATGTATATATATGACAAAACGATTTTAAAACAGTTGCTAACTTTTACAGAACGAGTAACGTAAATTGCGATAAAAATCTAAATGATTATTTAATTGAATTAACAACAAACTGAACGTTCTGAATTCGGCATAGCATATCTAATCTCAATACATATATTTATTAATATGTATTGTGGGTATATCTGTATGCAACGATCAGTTGAACAGCCGGACTAAAACTTGTTTTGTGCAACTTTTGCCGGAGAATAAGGAGTTAAGTAACATTTTCATTGGAATTTATACAACATTTCTCACCTATTTTCTTTCGTTTCAGTTTCAAAACAAACAACTATTTAGTTTGGCAGATGCTCGAATGAATGACTAGGACTGCCCTGTAAACGTATCGCAAGTGAGATCAGATTCATTTACTACAGTTGTTCATAAATTCTACTTTAATCGACATTGTCGAAAGCGCTGGAATCTTCTTAGTTAAGATAGTGAGTAGAGAGACATCTGTGATGTAATAAGCGCACATGTTAAAGACTGATAATAAAGACGCGATTTGCTTAGAAAGAACCTATTAATCGATCTGAAAGGATATTGGAAACTGTTCGATCAAGATGCGATCTTCTGTCACCATAGTCCACAATATATTAACTTAACATAGATCAAAATAAAGCTACACGCATTTCCACTGCTTACAGGGTATTTATTTGCTTCGAGTACAGCGTACATATGTTGTTCACGTTGAACGCAGGAAAGAAAAACTGTTTCTGCTGACGAACAAAAAACGGGTAGAAAAGTCGCAACTATTAACTTAAATTGCACGATCGTATCTCTTAAGTGCACAGTAGGCAGCTCGAACTTATAGAGACAGTCTCATATAGGCAGTTCATCATGAGTTTATTGCGTGTTTGTTGTTATTGTTTATGAGCTAAGGAACTACTTGCTAATTGGACCCTGGGATAAGCAACGAACTGACCCCGCAGAATGTCGTTGGCAATTCGTGATTCGGCTTGTTCCTGCGTGAGTCAGGCATATAGAACATTGTATATATTGCCATATTTATATATCAATTTATGAGACATTGTCAGACTGAAATGACCCAACGTTGCTGCTTATATAGCCCGTCTCGCATCCCGTTGATTTGGGAAGCCCCATTAGTGCGGTAAGCCACTTTGGCACTTGCTTTGAAATTCAACCCTACAACCCTCCAGAAGACAAAACCCCTTTCACAGACCTCTTTGTACTTTTAGTGCAAATTATTTGTTTGCATGTGGCCAAAGAGCTACAGAAATAGATTTATTGAATGACCATAAAAACAAAATAAAGAAAACCTAAAAACAACTTAACAACTTAACAGCTTAACAAAACACAATTTTATAGAAGAATAACATGCAAATTTCGAAAATTTATTGAATTGTCACGTACAGCCCGAAATTTTTGGAATGCTCATCTGTAGAGCAAAAGTTTTCCAACTCATAAATTTGATAGCTGTTTTTTAAATGATGTACATAGATATATATATATATTTGTATGTATATACATTATATATTATATATACATGCACATATCATTTATATAGATATTATCTAACACATATGTCTGTGATACATTTTTTATCGCAGCAAGCGCTAATTTTATAGCCTTAGCCAAAAATAATAGTCATATATACGAAATATATATTAATATATGTGGCGAATATTATCCCAAGCATCATTTTCTGACACCTTCAACATGGAGCTTTAGAAAACTTTGATCAGCTCTCAAGCACTCGGGATGTTTGTTTTCATAATATGTCTATATCTGTTTCTCACAGATCGGCAGCAGTTATTATATACCTATGCGATTGCTTGAAATGGGCGTGGCAATGTGAGATATTCATATTTATTATTGTCGATTGTTTTGTAATAAATATGTAGCTTCGCATCGATCCGTTTATGGCTTAAAAACGTCAATGGAATACATATATTACAAAATTGTAATAGAATAAATCGATGAATATATATATATATATATAAGGCTATGTTATTAGAATTCTAAAATATAGGTAGCAGGTATGTTCCGGCAGCATAGAATACGAAATAGATGTGGTTACATTACTTGTTTGTTTGTTTCTATTCCGAATTTCAACACAACCTACAATGAAGAATTGATAAGAGGAAACCTTTTCCAAATCAAAAGTAGGATATTTTTAGTGGATATTACTAATTTGAGTTCTTCAGTCCATTGAGTCATAATGATAACAAGCAAAGTATATACTTATATTTGTATATGTGTATATTTATACATAGATTAAATTCCATGGGATAGGTAATGAATAGCGTCAAAGAAGATAAGGAGAGTACAAAAGAGAAGTCTCATTTATAACCGATAACTAAGTAATGATTGACGAATTTATGCGTCAGTTTAAAGAATGAAAATGAGTATATTGGCTTTGGCTAACTGAGCCAAACACCTCAGGCTGCATAATAGAGAGACCAAGGATTAAACTTGTTAGCAGTCGTATCCTCCATTTCTATCTCATATCGATGCTACCGAAAACTCAACGATATTGATGTTTGATAAGATTTTTCTGCTTTTAAACAGGGTATTATATAGTTGATTATGCCAGACTACAACGTTGTTACCACTTTTTTGTTTTCGGCTATTGTTATTTTTGTTACTCTTATCAATAAAAGGCGATTCACGTCTTAAATGAAATTGATTTACAAAATATAAACACGCGACTTTTAATCTGCTACCCATCTAGCATAGAGTATAGACAGTTCTGCAGTTTTGACTGGGCCAGAGGTAGATTTGATTAGAAAACATCGCGTAATCTGTATATATGCATGTCTATGTGTATATTCACATTAATATATATAATTTTTTATTGCTGTATATATAGGAGATTTAATATATGTAAATAAAACTCGAGTGCACTTATGTTTAAGCTAAGAACCACTCTAGACTGGAGTGGATCATAAACAGATTCCCGGAGAATGTGTATATATAGAGAGATCGGCGGGCAGCGATAACGCAGCATAGTCATATAAAAGACATTGGAAAGTTACCAGAGTCAAATCAATCAACGCGATCAGCGACATTTACCGCAAATCAAAACAAATTGCCGAAAATAAAAAATGGATCCCAACTTTTTGGTAGATGCACACATTTTTCTTTATTTTTATTGAACGATAAGTGACTATCATGTGACTATCATGGCAGGGCTTTGATATGGCAGACAGAACGTTTGCCAGGGTTTGGTCATGACGAGTCACTCATGATGAAACCGGTCTTTAATACGTCCTTAAGAACCGCACATGCACTTGACCAACCGGGCAAAAAGCAAACGAACTGCCTTCAAAAGGCAACACACAACACAAAGAGAAGGCGAAACAGAAACAAACAGCGAGAAACCAGTTGACTGAGGCTAAGTACATATATTAACGCATCGAATATTTAATACCCTAACTTTGAGTTAAGAGCAAAAAGATCTCAGGTCGATGCATATAGTCTGTAAAAGTATTGTGGATCTTTGAAGAGATGAATCGACATGGAGGTTCAGTAATTGCGAAATGAAGTATATACATATGCGATTAGAGCTAAAAAGCTCAACATATCATAAAAAGTATAGAGACGCTTCGATGTTGCTTTTCTTTAGAGGCTAAGCAATGCTGTACGGCAGTTGTATAATAGAATGTGAAATATGTTTAGCTTGTAATCTGTGCACACTTTTGTGTAACTAAAATTGATAATTATCGATTTGGGGCATAGTTCCGTATTCACGAAAATATTTACTTAATACTTGCTTAACAAAATTTTGCCATATTTAGCAGTTCATGCGAACTGGGAAATCGTTTGAATTCGAAGTTCGACTGGTTCCATGGGAATCACCGATATCCACGCCCTCACCCGCTGCCGCCGCACCTAGCGCACAGTTGCGATCACGAGACGCAGCCCGTGCAAAGCGCCGATTATCAGACATTGTCTACCCAGTCTACAGACCTCGTTTTTGCTGATTTGTTGGAGCTGCGCCGCGTAGACGATTTAATTACGGCTGTCGCATATTTATGAGCAGCCGACGAACCTATGAACGTGCCCAAGTCTCTCGAAGAGTGTGTACATTCGCTGTGTGGAGTGGCAAAGCGATGATGCATGTAATTGAGGCGCAAAGCGTCATTTCTCTGGTTAAACTGAACTTTATTGAATTAACAGCGAATGAACGAGCTGAAATTTCGGACCAGTCTAAACCGGAATGAACCCAGAAATATAAATTTTTTCAGCTGAGCAATCCAATAAGAGCATTTATATAAAACATCGTCTTACAAAAGTAGCTTGGACTCGCATTCTATGTCCCTTAGATCGGAAAAACAGCGCATCCATATATATACGTATTATTCATGCATCGGACAATTAAATCTAAACAACAAAAAATTGAACAAATTACTTAAGTGTTTGTTATCAGTTAGATAACAGACATGTATTCAATCAACAGAGTTGTCTCAATTAAACAGACAGCATAACAGCCACGTTCAATAAAACTGCACCCAGATCGCACATGTCGAAATCTCTAATGTTGTTCATACTTCTTTTTCTTATTTAAACTTGAAAACTTTCCCAAAGTCGTTGCTCGCATGCGCAGCGTGCGTCACGTTTGTAAACAAAAAATCTTAGCAAAACAAATAGTCGAAAAGAAATTTGTGTGTAATTGCTCGAAGTTTGAATACCCTTACTCGATATGCATACATATTCAGATTCATATAGTAATAGTATAAAATCATATTGTCCAAGCTGTTAGCTTGGTGAATTCGTTGCATAAAGAAATATCCATTGATTTATAAAGCTATCATTAAAATTAAGCAGCTGTTAACGGTCGTTCCGTTGTTTATATATGTTAATTAAAGCTTTTTTAATGCTCGACACTAAATTAAAGTAGCGCTTCTAGGGTATATCAGTTGCTTACCATTCTCTTCGGTATAGCCCCAGTGATGGCTCATCGTAGATCTGATCTTTGGTTAATAGCAGAGTATAGAGATGTAGAGAAGAAAACAAGCTTTTGTTCTTGTACTCGCAGTCGCTGTCGCACGTTTGATTCTTGTCGCGAATGCAACGGAACTTTTTATATAGACCCGATAAATAGTGGTAGAGTAACGTTTACAATTTTAGTTACGGTTTGCTAAGGTGAGCGCGTCTGCTTAGCTAGTCTGCTGACTGTATACTGATTGACTCGCGCCAGCGTCGCTGACTTCGAAGCCAAAGAAGCAAAAAAGGGAGAAAAACACGCACGGTTAACCTGACTGAAACACAGTGCGAGAGAGAGCGGGAGAAAAAGCATACTGTAAGCAGTGCATGAACGAGCAAGCTAGCGAATGAACGAGCGAATGAGCGAGCGAACGAAAGAGAGAAAGCATAAGGAGAGCGTGACAACTGAGCAACTAAATTAGACTGCTGTGTTTAACCGCGCTCACGCTGCGCTGGGATTGGAAGAGGAGTGAAGGGAGAGAGGAGAGGGGGCTGAGAACGATGGAAACGTATGCTGACAGTTCAAAATCGGACTGAGCTCCGCGACCTAACATTAATTGCATTGTGGTGCCAATTACGCAATGCTGTTAAGTGGCACTTAAAGCTGAAATGCATGTCGATCAATGGCTGTTAACTTGCTGTTAATTTTAACTGGATTGCTTCTAGTTGCGGTAGGATATTTAATTCGCATTTTAACTGTAAAATATACTGCGAGCCCACTGTGTCCACACATGCCGAAGAAATAGTCGCCTTAATTTATTGTTGAATTCTAGTACATTGTTTTTGCTGTTGTAGTAGAAAGCGTGAACATGATCGGGTGACACAGACTCACTCACTAGCTGTCATAGGACCGCTAATAGTCACAATTTAACATAACTGTTTTTTCATTTTTTTGTTTTTTCTTTGAAAATTTAACTACAGCTCGCAGATCCATTTGATGTGGGGTGGCTGGCGATGTTTGTTTTTTGGGGGCTTCGGTTGTTGTCCCGCAATTTTCGTCAACAGCAACGTTATTTCATTATAACACATTGCACACTGTCAGTTTAGCGAATTAAACCAAATTTGCAAACGAATTTTCAAATATTTGTGTGCTTTAGCTCACATATAACAGAATAATTCCTAATATGATTGTCGCAATATGGAACCATATCCGCGCCCGTCCCACGCTGCGTATGCGCAATATTTAGGCACAATTTTTTAATTATGAATGTAGACACGGCTTTCATATTTGCACTTTGCACAGTTTTTATTTTTGTTTTTCATCTGCTCACGTGCACGCCAAGCGGCAAACTTTAAATGCATTTCCGTAATTGCAATTGCACAACAAATATTGCAACAATAACCAGAAAAACAAATGGAACGAAGGGGAATACGGAACAAGCAGAAAGTGGTATCCAGATTTTCAAGGTCAAATACATTTATTAAATAGAGAGAGGAGAAAAAATTAGAGAGAGTGAGAGGCACAGAGACAGAAAAATTAACTCTAATGAATTTTCGATTTTGCTAGAGTCGACACTGATCAGCTTAGCTCGAATGGCTTTTAACTGTTTTATACACCTAGAATTGCTCTTACACCTATTCCTACAGCTAAAACTTAGTCACACTTCATGTTGATCTTACCAGAGAACACTTTACGTGAATTCAACTCAAGAGCCCAAGGCATAGGTCGCAATTTGAACTTTTTCATGGTCGCATTTTTTATGTTTCCTAGTTGTTGCTCTGTTTTTGTTTTGTCAACTAATCCATTTGCTTGATAATGAAATCAAAACACAGACTGCTGCTTTATTCGTCTAACCAATTTACCGCACTACTGTCCTTTTTTATTTATTTGACTTCTAGCTAAACACGGGTACAGCTTTCATTGTTGTTGGTGACTTTTCAGAGCAACTAAGTTTTTATCTCTTAAATCTTTTATCCATCAGATATCATAGAGTAGCGCTTGACGCAGCTTCAGCAAATAATACTGCGATAATATAACATAAAAGAGAAGTTAATAAATTTTCTTAAATTACCCAGAGCTTATGCTACTGAAAGGTGAAATCTTGTACGCAAGATTAAACTAATTTTATAATGTACAAAAATGTAGTATACATGATTCTATCTGTACTATCTATTTGTCTGTCTTGTCAATACCTATCAATTTACAGTTGTTTTTAATTTTGTTTATCATTAAATTAGGCGTTTCAAAAATAAGCGTTCGTTTGCAATTAACACTTATCGAGATCTTCTGATCTCAATAGATTCAAGTTCGTTCGAGGCGTCACATCGGCACATCAGCACACTGAGTGAGTTAGCCCGATTCAGTTTCCATCGAAATTGAGTTATAAACAAGATTCATTAGCATATCCCTTCGAATTTGTAAATCACACACTGGAAATATATTTATTGTCCAGTCTCCTTCTTATACTCGAAACTTTCCTTTGCACGCTTCTCTCTGCTGTCTCGGACATTTAGCGAAAAGCAAATTCAATTTGCAAGGAATGTCAAATATTATTTGAGTTTGCGGCACGTGAGCAAATCTTCTGTTTGCCAGCAATTTAAAAAGCTGTTTATCAAAATCATTTCTAGCCATGCATCGTACGATCCCAGAGAGCTATTAAAACAAATAGCACTTTGTATACATACACATGTATATACATATATGCATGCATGGTCGTTTCTTCTTTGCATAAATTGAATCAATGTTTTATTAGTCTTTCAAAAATAAATTTTGGATTAAAGTTTATTGCGCTGATTTATTAATCAAATTCTTTCCAAGTGCCAAAGTCTTGCGATCTGCTGATTCAAAATATATATTTCTTTCTTTTCTTTTTTTATATTCTTAAGAATAATATTTTTTTCGACATACATATACACATATGCTTATTATAATGAATGCGACGCACACACAACATGCGCATCGTAAAAATGCCATAAATGGATGCCAAAGCATTCGCAAATATAGTTAAACAAATTATCGATCGTAGCAACTTAAAATGCTCGACTAATATATACTCAGTATTTGTTAAAATCGATGAAATTGTATATGTGTATATATATGATATGTTAGATATGAGTTTACCACCTGTGATCAGAATTGATAATTGCAAAATTTACTTCCATCCAGATTAGATATATCAAGAAGAATGTCAACATGTGTATGGAACGGTTATAGAACAACAGTCCAGTTGAATCTTTAACTCATAAAATAGTCAGAGTTTAACAGTCCAGCTGAATATTTAAAGCATTTTCAATTAAATTTAACTCAATTTGACTGTAATACATTTAACAAAACAATAACAAATATAGTCTTCGAATCGTCACAAATCAAGAATTAAAATCTTTGGAGTTTCATCACACGTGCATGTTTAAGGACTCGCCGTTTCACCAAACGCAGAACTCGAATATATATTTGTTGTTTACCATAAACAATACTTTGATATATGTAGGTTGTATGAGGAGTGGCCCATCAACTACTCCTCTATTCCTGTTCTCTCTCTGGCAAAAATGTAGCACGTCACCTTTAATGTATTTTGTATTATCGCGTCGAAAAATTGTAAAAAACTTTTTATTTTTTGAATCATTTCTGTCATTTAATTTTTGTTCTACGTTAGGAACTTTTCAGCCCAAGTGTAAACTCTCTCATATATATATATATATATATATATATATATATATATATATCTGAGAGACGAACTTAAAAGCTAAATAATCCAAAATTACTTGAAATGTACAAATATTCCGCTATTAGGGATTAACAGATTCTGAGCAGCCCAGTTTATGTGAGCTGTAGCTGTAATAAAGAACTGTTGCTTAACAGATTTGCCGCTAAGCACGCAATAAAATTTTATTTTTCGATCGAGTCTCTTAACAGTGCACTATGGTCAAAAAGTAAAATTTTCTGACATAAAGGAAACCAAATTCAGCAGTTTAAAATCAACCTTTGGTTATTGATATGTAACCGTAAATATAATGTAAACTTTGCAATTGTTGTGTGGGTGATTGAAAAGAGATACAAAGCAATTGTGAATATGGAAAATCTTTGCCCAAGTATTTAGAATCAATGCTCAATACTATTATGTTGTTGTTTGTTGGTAATTGTGTAATTGTTGTTAATTTAGGAAATACATTCCCGTTTCGTGGAGTATTAAGTGTTGTGAGCACGCTACACTTAACTAACCACTATACCCTGATTTCCCTTTTTCAATGGGTTCAGGGTATAAACTAGTAAGAAAGCTATGGTCGAGAATGCTTGACTACGAAATCCCCTGAACCCTTCTAAAAATGGATATTTCAATAATTATTCGCGTCTTTCTGCTTACACGATGAACACAGAGGCATGCGCGCATAAACACGCATGGACTGCAGTGTGGACTTACTATGGGAACTTAATTGTTTAATAACTTTTCTTGTCGATGGACTATCTCAATGAAACTTGTAGATCGCGATCATTGCATTAAAATGCGTGTATGCGTGTAGGGCTGCCATCCGTCCAGGAATTCCGGGACATGTCCCGCTTTTGGACGTAATGTCTCGGTGTCCCGATCTGACACGAAATGGTTCCTGTTGTCAGCTGTTTCGATAAAAAATTCGTCATTTTGACAAAATGCAACTCAAAATACAGACTTGAAGAACTTTTGTCGAGACAAGTGTAGAATTTGTTTGAGAAAGCAGCGTAGAGGAGGAAGTTCAGTTTTTTGCAACAAACATACACTCGTGCAATAGAATTAAATATAGAATTAAATATCGCTCATTCATGCGATTTCTGAGCACAATGCAAATTGCGAAAGGGTTTTTTCCTTATTAAATACGCAGTGGTCAGACGAAAGAAATAAGTTACTGGTGGAGAATGTTAATATAATATATTATTGTTTAATATAATATGGTGGACATAAGTTGTTCCATAAGTTGAATGTTATGTATGTATGTATGTTTGGAAAAATAGACTGTGTGGAGAAGTATAACTGAGGCAATCATGAATATAAGAACAATGAAATATAAGGATGTATTCATACTATGTATCGATATACTTGAAATTTGTCGGGGTGTACTTGTACTTGTTTGAGGGGGTGGATATAGGGATGGAGGTTAAATTATATAAAATACATATATGTACGTCTACATTTAAAGTTTAAAGACTGTAGCCTTAAAGGTGTAAGATATATAACTAAATTTCAATAAGGTTTTTAATCGATAACAAAATATCGGGAGTAATTATCGCTCTTTGGATATGACATGCGCGACATGCGCGTGATATGCACGAACCTAGGAAAAAATATGTCAAGTCTCTAGCTATTATATCTTCTGAGATCGGCGCGTTCATACATACATTACGATGCCTATCCAACCCTGGTAGCTCAGTGCCTTCGGAGCGACTTGCTTCGGCAATAAAATGCGTTTTCAGTGACTCGCCTAGTCGTATGACGGATATTCATTTTTTTATATCTTTGAGTACCGAATACTGGAGTTAAGCGGTCTTTATCATTTTAATAAAAAAAAATACTTATTCTTATTATTCTTGTTTTTTTGGGACGGATTATAAATTTATTCTGGAAAAAAAGTAAAAAAAAAAAAAACAACTCGAAAAATATTGATACAGGGATTTTTGTAAAGTTTCATATCAAATATCATATTGATATACTTTCAAAAGTTAAAATATCATCGATACGATATTTTAAAAATATTCGACAGCCCTAGCCTGCACACAAATGTGTGTGTGTGTGTAAAAAAGTTTTATCTTGTGAATGCAGAAAAGTGAAGAATTATCAGTTCTTCAAAAGGTTCAAAGAAAATCGTAGGCGGTGAGTCTCGACTACAGCATTCTTGTCGTACCTTTCTAAATCTAAAATTAGGATTGTTAAAGGGAATGCTAGTATTTTCTGTAAGCACGCTTTAAGTTAATAAGGTTTACGAGCTTAATCGAATCTTAATTAATTTTATACAATTTATATATGATATTTATTGCTGTAATAGATATATTTGAAATATATAATTTGATTTAAATTATAGCTAGCAATATACAGGCTAAAATATACCATATGATTTATTATTATTTACGCTACATAATAATAGTTAGATAATAGATAATTCTTTAGGATAATTATATGAATGGTTTCACCAAGAACGTTTGCCAGAAATGAAGATAAACTATAGGCCACATATCGTACACAATATAAATATATATTTTATATGCCTATGTATACGGCATATAAACACATATTAATGCCGGACACACTCAAGTGTGCGGGTGCATGTATGTGTTTGTAAACATGATATAAAACAACAACACTTTTGTTTAAACCTAAGTATAAGCATTACAATTGCTTAAATAAATAAATATATAATATATATATATATATATATATATATTTATTTATAGATATATATGATATCTATATATTTTTTTATACAAATATATATCTGCTCACGGAGGAGGATTGGGGCCAATAAAGTACAATAAAGTAAATAACATAACAACAATGCCAGAATATTGGATAACTAAAAGGTTGCCCCTCGGGCCTCTTGGCCATGATCAACGTAGCTGGGGTCGTGGCTCCGTTAAGTGCATGTGCCTTGACTATTTAACATTCACATTCATAATATTGAATACTGGACCGATGCGCATAAATACACGCCTAAGGACACTTCGCAATTCGGGCTTGAGGTCGAAGCACATCATCTCACATAGCAGACTATAGTAGTTGGACACATGCGTGGCAAACTAGAATATTGATGTAAAAATAAATTTAAATAATGCCAATTCTGTTTTTATATGTATTTATCTTAGCTTACCCTCGCGTCGGTCATCTTAAGCAGGCGTGTCAAAATTAGCAGTAGGAGAGATGTCCATGCATCGCGATGCGCCTCGCTCTGTAGGCTGAGATAGTAGGCCAGCGCCTCTTTGCTGACTTGCACCAACTCCTGCTCAATGCCGGGCCAGTCGCTGCGACGATTCTCATCGCTGTACATTTTGAAAAAGATGCGTAAGACACAGGCTAATGACGCTGTCTCCTGTTTCAGCAGATTTGGCTTGACAGTACCCTTAAATCCCGCACGCCACAACAAATTGCGCTGATCCTGATCGGCATTGAAGCGCTTGGCGAAACGATGCGACTGCATCAGGCACTCGGCGAGTGTGAAGAGCTGTCGCGTACGCAAATAGCCATACATTCCCTGTTCCTCGCGTTGGCAATCCAGCTGCAGCTGCTGCTGCGTTTGGCGTCCGGTCAAATCTGCGGCTGCCTGTGCCAGCGTCTCAGCATCCTCCTTGCGCGAGGTGGCCGGGAAGAAGACTATATTGTCCATGGTCTGTATTAACTCCAGTTGCACGACACACTTAATATGTAGACCCTCGAAACTATTGTGCGCCTCTAATGGCGTGGAATGTACTGTACTAGAAGCACGACGTGGCAACTGATGTTGTAGCTGCAGCTGTGGTTCATTGCCCTTGGAGGGGCGCCAGCTGAGCAGCTCCTTGGGGAGCGTTGCATTGAATATGTCAAGGATGCATTGGCACGTCTTGTCCCAGGTGACCTCATTAAACTTGAACCCATTCGAGATGACCAGATTCTCTAGACAATTAGTGCCAGAGCGGGCAAGCTGTTCATTATTTTGCTGAACGCACCAATGCAACTGAGCGAACAGCTCTTCCAGCAGTAGATGGCCAAGCACATCGAAGTATTGGGTGAACACGTCGATTATTGCGTACAATGCATGATTGCAGGTGGTTGTCATCCATTCCGACTTTTCGGTCACATGCTCCGGTAGTTTCATGTTGTCAAAGATGCGGAAAATCACATTGAATAAATCTTTCCACCAATTTGGCTTGAAGCTATCGCCATGAGTCTTAACAATCTCAAAAAGAACGGTCAGACCACGTGTGCGTACATCCAACTTGCATCTATTGACCACACAGGAGAGAGAGAAGAGCATGGGAAACCAACCGCGAACCCAAACACGGTCTTCCTCCGCCACAGATGCATCATTCTCCATGCCCGCATGCTCCGCAAACAGCTGGGGTGCATCATGCACACACTGAGCACAGTTTCGCACTAACCGTATGGCTTCCATGCTGGTGTCCGGGAAACGTGCATTGCACGCAAACTCAGACAGGCACTTAACGGAATCCTGAAAGGAGTCCACCATAACTGCGAATTGACGTCGATAGAGGTCACCAATAATTTTTCCTGTTGTCTGGAATGCCAACTCCACAATTGGTTCCTCATGATCGCCGGCAGCTAAATGAAATATAGAAAATATGTTCTTCCAGCCGGAACGTATATTGTGGGCCTGTGAAAAAAAAAATAAAAAAAAATAAAAACATTTTTACCTTATTGATCAACTGTCTCAATTCATTGACTAACCTGCGAGTTGACCATTTGGGCAATACAACGCACGACCATGTCACGTATGGCCGGCGAGTTGTTCTTCTTCATGATGTGCTCAAAGGGACGCAGGAAGTCCTTTTGGAAACGAAAATTGCTAAATTCCCCCTTCTCCATGAACTTCATAGACAGCTGGCGCAGAGAGTCCAGAGCAAAGAATGCAATCTCCTCGTTACTGTTACAGCCAACCGTATTGAAATGCTCGCCCAGCACCTGCCAGATACGTGACCATTGCAATCGAATACGCTCCATATTATAGTAGCTGATCTCTACAATTTTTTGCAGTGAGAACATGCGTGGCTGCGTCTGCTGCAATTCATCGACAGAGACCTGACAAAGTGCTTTGACAAAGTCCACAATCGCATCGCCATCCAGGCGCATGGAGCCGGTAAATATACGATCCACTGCCACAACTACACTCTGACTGCTCGTCTCACCAATGTGCTCTTTGACACTGGGATTAAGCGTGTCCTTGAGCGTCGTTTGCGCACCGGAAAGGAATTGAGGTCGCACTCCCGTGCCAATTAGCTGTGCCAGCTCCAACTGGCTAATGCATTTGACTATGTCCAACCAACTACTGCCCAAATAATTGCCATCAGTGTGGGCAACCATGATGAGCGTTTTGATAGTATCAATATTCTTAGCCTTCATCTCATTAATGGGCGAATTGGCATTTAGCAGTGTGAAACGTGCGAGCGCCTGAACATAGGCATCCCGTTCAAGGGACATGTGGAAAATGCACGCAATGCGTATGGCACATCGAATGCCATCCAAGCAGAGGGTCGCTATTTCTGGATCGTCGCATACCTGCAAACCCACTGAGAAGGCAGCCAAAAAAGGAGTCCATGCCATTTTAAACATAGGACGAACATGCTCCAGATGCTTGGCCGATGTGAATGGCGACTTAACATGCGATACAGACTGCATCAGATTGGTTGCCGTCAGGGAGATGACCTCCATTTCCATATTCCATAAAAGTTTACGTCGCTTTTCCGTTATGAATGGCTGTTTGCCCGAAGGCTTAGGCGCCATCAGCATGGTTGTATTGTTCTTCATTTTAATCTCATGCTCGGCGATCTCATCGTAAATAGATGACAAATACTCCTCGGGTAGATCATCTTTGCTGTCACTAATGCCCCGATTCATTTTGATGTACTGCTCCTTGGTCATCTTGTGTTTAACTTGAGGCGAATGAAGATCTGTGGTCAACATTATAATGCTGAATGCCAGCACATAAACCGTGTCGGCGCTCTGGAAAAGCTGATTTTGAGGATTACATTCGCAGTATCTGCTCGCGAACTTCTCCATTAATCGATCGATCTTCTGTGCCTCACCGGGCAAACGGAACTCTTCAAGCAGAATGCGGAGAGCTGCAACCACTTCGAGCTGGCGAAAGTCAAAGGCATCGATATACGCACACATCACCTCCTTGGAGTGATCATCGTTCTCGCCCAGATAATTGCCAATAACGGTCTTATCGAGACGATCGTCATCGTGAAGCCAGCGTGCTATATCTGTTGGGCTGCTACCTAACAGTTGCTTCTCTTGCAAAAATTGGACGCCCTTTTGGGGCTTACGGTTGAATAGCTCAATGCCCGTCTCCATGACTTCCTTGCGCATCTTGCGCTCCTCTAACGCTTCGGGCAAATCCAACAACTCCTGATTCTTAACACTGCCATACGAATTAAGGCTGTGACTCGAACCGCCATGTGTTGAACGCAGGCTGGAATTGTGGGCGGAGAGCGCATCCACGTTATCACCCAATTGCGTCTCTTGCATGGTTGACGTCGGCGACTGAATCGCCTGCACCTGCAATTAGAAGTAAGTTAGCCCAACGAAATAAATATGTATGGAAATGTAAATGTTGTTCACCTGTAGAGCGTTCGCTGGCATATTGGGATTGACATATAGATCCTTACTCCACTCAACCATGCACTTTAATATAGATACAAGGCACTCGAGGCCGCGTTTGCGCATTGATTTCTCTTGCATGGGATTAGCGCCCAGCTCAAGGGCCTGGCGACCCTGCGCAATCTTTGATAGATCATTAACCAGACGCTCGAACAGGTTCGCTGCCGAGAAATCACAGTCGTAGTTCACATAGATATCCACCACGGATTGCGCATCCGCACAGATACGCGTTAACGCTTGAATGACCATCCATTTGTGCTCAAAAGAACTCGAATTAGCCTCCAGTATATTCAAGAATATTTCCTTGAAAAATACCTCGATCTGCCGCTTTAAATGCACCTTAAAATTTGAAAGTAGTGCCACAAATATAGAGAGCGACAATTCGAAGACCTCGGCCACCAGGCTAACCCCATTGTTGGATAAGGCAACACACAGATATTGTTTTATGGCCATAACGAACATCTCGTTGGAGCGGAAGACGGGTCCGGCATTCTGTAATATAAGCAGCAACAAATGCAGAGACAACACCTTGGAGCGCAGTTCATGAGACTTTGGATCGGGTTGACCCTCGGGTAGTGGCTTCATCGACAGCTTACACAAGGCCCGAAACACAAGAAACGCATCCTTTTGCAGGATGTGCGTAAATTTAGCCGTAACTATAGCATCGTTCTCACTGTGCAACTCAACGCTATCGTGGTCAGAGTGCGAAGAATCAACCGAGCCATTTCCATTCACAGATCCCTCTATTTCAGCCAGTTCCGAGTCAGAGCTCTGTTCCTTCATCGCCTCGTTGAAAGCAGCTAAAAGTATATAAATGCACAGCTTAGATTCTTATTTGCTGATTCCTGATACCCACACAACTTAAGTATTATTCGCATTGTGGATTTTTATTTTATACATATTCAATACATTAACTGTTAACTGCCGTATGGGTTAGTTTACAAATATTGCTTTTCTGTATGGCGGCTTTTTTATATGGGCAACACTGATGCATATATTGTGCACTCTATCTTTATCGATAATTTACGATTACTGACAAATCATTGCATAAGATCCACTCACAGCACATTCACATTCACTCTCACCCACCTGTTATTATCTCAGCAAGCAGCTCTGAGGCAATGGCTTCATCACTATCTGATGATTCCGTTACTACTGTTGTTGTTGTCGTCGCCGTTGTCGTTAAATCCTCACCATTACCTTCCGGACTGGCTATGCTGCCATTGATCGTTGTCGTCGTCGTTGATGGTGGAGGCGGTACTTCATAGACTTGATTCTCCATTCGCGCAAAGATCACATTTAGCATCTGTGTGAGTGTGGCACGGGCCGTTGTCTGATTGACCAGGTTCCTGCTGGATAGGTAGATGTCATAGCAGGTACGCACTGCTTGCAGCAGCGTGAATTCATGTATTTCTACATGCTGCGACGTCACAACGGTGAGCAGAGCCTTAATGATCTGCAGCTGAACGCCTTCATCCGTCTGCGGGCCATTAAAGCAACCATAAATGGTGATGACAATGCGATCGATGAGCAAATGACCCGGATTTGCAGAATCTTGAATAGCGCCCGTCAGATGACCATAGGCAATCAGCTTTTGCAAACAGTCCAAAGCTGTTACAACGATGCGTGGCGAGCGACTCTTGCATGCTAGCTCGAAGGGCAGGAAATAGGTTTCTGCGTTGATAATGCTCGCGGCATCGTTTTTGGGAAGCGGCAACGCGGCGCATGGTAATTCATTGCCTTCGGCAATTTGGCCCGCATTGATGAGCTCTGCTTTGATCTGTTCGAGAGCTGTGTCACAAGATTTCTTGAGCTGAGAATGATGTGAGCGCCGTATGTCCTTATCGGCAAGGATTTTCTCTAGAGCACGCACAATAAACATTTCCTTAGTTTTCGTGGAGTTATTTTGCATATTGTATGCAACTCCAAGGTCGTTTTGCAGTTATGTTTTTATTACCAGCCTCTTACTAATTCGTTTCTGCGTGCGTGCGTGTGTCTGTATAACGACAGCGACAGCGACTGCAACTTTCGCGCTGCCGCAACGGCGTGTGTTACCCCGTATGTTTTTGCTGTTGTCTAGATGACTCTAACTCGGCACCCGCAGTGTGTATGTGGTGTTATTTTAATGTTTTATGCGTTTGCATATTGCTAATGCTTCAATTTTTCACATCAAATATGCTTTAAAAAATACAATTCGTGAAAAAACGTCATCAGTACTGCACAACATAGCCAGACTGTTAATATATATCGATTAACGTAACAGACTTGCAATCGATTAAATACTAAACAATTTAAATAGCTGACAAATTGAGTTTATAAATTAAATACTAATTTCTATTGACTTATTACAGGGTATAAAACTTGTCACACAAACACGACAGAAACACAAGTGATTACAATGATAAAAAATTCTCTAACATAGGTACATATATGTGCTAGTACTATAATTGCCACTCCTCCCTTGTACAATCCGACAGTAAAACCATGTTGCTCAACTGCTCGTCCAAGAATTTGCCATCCAGTGCTATTGCTTCTTCGCCGCCAGTTGTAAATATTCGTGACGGTGGTAAGGCCGATGCTGGTATATGCAAATACTTTTTGGCCAAACTGTGCAGAAAGGGATGAAACTGTACGAGATCCTTCCACAGCAACAGTGGCTCCGTCTGTAGGCTGCTAATACCTGAGCAGAAATAGCTCGATATCTCATCCATACTCTCAGTCTCACCATTCATATTGATGTGTTTGTGCTTCTCGTATGAAAAGGCTCTATATGCTGCCCATATGTCGTAGTTGTCCGTGTTGGCTTCCTCATTCGATTCGACAGGCATCTCCCCGCATTTCTCTTCGTAAAGCTCGTACAGCTGTGTCATATATTTGGCAACAAGCGATGCGTTTTGGAAGGGCATATTGCGGAAGCGTGGATCTAGAAGACTCGACAACGCGAATTGCATGTTATTTTCCATGTCCTCGAAGCGTTCCTCCAAAAAACGGATAATAAATAGACGCAAATCATATGCGATTTGATGCTGCTGCTGCTCTGCGCTCTCTGGCTGCTTCAGTTCGTTGAGAACGGTGTAAGCAATGGGTAATGCATTACTGGCACTGGGATACCAGCCGATATTTGTGCCACATAATTGACGCACTGCACTAGCTAATGGAGCCAACACTGTTATCAGTTCCGCAGCCAAATCTAACTCAGCGCCCGTCAATGCATCCGATGGCAACAGTTTCTGCTGTTGTGTCGCTTGCTTCACGTAGCGTTCTAGCATTTCATAGCTGCTCAAAGGCTTTCCAACAACATCTAACTTTTTCAATTGTTGGCCGTGACAGCGACGCACCTTGTCGCAAAGAGCACTAAATTCATGTCGCTGGACGACCAACTCGATCAGTTCTTCCAACAGATGGGCAAAGCAAGGCACGTGTCGTTGGCTACCCAGCAGCGTAGCTACTGCATTCTCCATCAGTTGATCACTGCGGCTCACAATACAAACAATTTTCGATTTGTCTATATCGAATCGGTGGCAAATGCGCTCCAAACGTTCCACAATGGTGTTCTCATTATACTGCAGGGGCAACCTTTGTACAGAGAGCGCTTTTGACCGTCGATACAGGCCCTCGTTGTAGTGGGCAGCTACCTCCAGGTAGCTCAATTGCTGGTCAGACTTTGCATTGATGACGCAGCTCAGTGACAGACTTTGTATGTGGGCAAATTGTTGCCGCAACTGCGCTATTTGAATCTGCGATCTTTGGCCAATGTGCGCGGCGAGCTGCTCAGAACTGGGTAATCGGAAGATGGGACACAGCACCTGGACCAAGCGCTTAAACCCCTCACCCTGTATAATATTTAGCGGCTGTTTGTCGCGGCATAGAAAGTATGCCAAACTGTTCATATAAACATTGTTACTGCAAAGAGAGAACAGTCAGAAACAGAAATAGTCAGCGGTATTTTAATATTGAATAATTGAATACTTGACCGACCTGACTATCAAATGATCTAATTCTGGATGCGTTCCGTCGTTGTGCATTTGGTACAGTGATCGTTGATCGCTCTGTTCATTTGCGTCCTTTGGCTCAAATTCTATAATGTCCTCTGCGCTTACGGTCTCCGTGGCGGACTCGGTCTCTGCCCCCGTCGTTGCCCAATTTGCATACGTTTCCTCATTCACGACACTTTCGACCGCTGCATGTGCCTCCGCATTAACCAGCTCGATTAGGTTGACATCCATATCGTTATTACCTTGTTCGGCATCAACTTCTTGCTGGGGCTCCGATTTAATTTTAATGGACGCATGTTTAAGTTGCTTTCGTCCACGACTTTTGATGGGATTGGGTTCACGTTTGAGGATGCCGCGTACTACAATCGAATCATGGTCATTGACATCGCTGTAAACAAACGCTACTGAGTAGATGTACTCAAATATTCTGAGCAGTTGGCTTACATTTGTGGATGGGTCTTCATGTGCTTCATGAGATTGGAGGTATTGCCGCAGGTTTTTATTATCTTTTCGCAGAGTACACATTGTGCTGTTTGAAGATCTATTTTATCATAGTATTTCCAAATTTTACTACGCGCCATTATTATTTGTCTATATTGTTTGGCATCGATTTCGGAATTTACAAATTGTATCGAAACGCTTGCAATCAGTTCACTGAGGCAGCTCAATTTTGAAGTCCTAAAGAACCTCATAATGTTCATTGATTCAGTTCACTCCAGTTATTCGTTGTTCATATGACGTTGACAAAAACTAGCTCAAGTTCGCTCAATTGTCCAACCATTGAAAATAACAACACTAACCAGGGAACACATAGACTAGATATCTAGAACAAATTTTTTCAACGACGAAAAAATGCGATGTACAGACTAGGGATTAGTGATAACAAGTAAGGAAGCTCCAGTCAGTGTTGCCGTTTTGGCTTATTTTCGACCAGATCAGGCTTATTATACCCTGAACCCATTTTCAATGGGAAATCAGGGTATAATGGTTTTGTTGAAATGTATGTCACAGGGAGGAGGCGTGGCAGACCCCACAAAGTATATACACTAGGGATGCAAAACTATCGATAGTGCGGCCATAGATTTTTTTCACATCCGATAGTGAAAAGCGTCGATATTATCGATAGTACTATCGAAAATTTAAAATAATTACAATTTACTCCATTTTTTTCTTAAAGTCTGCATTTATAGAACGGTACTAAAAAATGTTTCAGACTTCATTTACAGCTATTATTTATAACTGTTGTATATTTATATAGAACGAAAACAAAAATCAATATTTGAAGCAACTTAAATTATTTGATATTTGAAGCAACATTCATAATTTTCACAGCAGTAATAGGAAAATATGTAACGGAATGTAATATAAGATAAAAAAGATATAAAAACAGTATTCAATATTCAATATTCTTAAAAGTATTTAAGCAACTTAAGCCGAAAATCGTCAACACATATAATATTAAAGCTATCCATCTAGGAGCCAGATGTTTTTATTTAAGAACAGTAAGACGTCCACATTTTTTGTTTTAAGGCGGGACCGACGTGTGCCAATAATTTCCCCAGCTTTACTGATTTCTCCGACTCGGTGGAGCTTGCCGGAACGCAAAGGTACTTGCGAGCGCACTGTGCGACGTGACTAAAATGTTGCGCATTAATCTGCAATGTTTTAAATGTTCAGATTGTTATTTTTATAAATTTCATTACAAATTTACCTTCCAGTACTCCAAGGGTCAATATCATGATCAGCATTTCTCTCCTCAATGTATTGCCTCATGGCACTTATTGCATCTGACATACAAGTTCGTTGTTTCCGCTGAATTCTATCGGCCAAAAATGTAAGAACATTGTCAGGGTGCGTTGGCTGTAAATCAGTTACTGGGTCATTTTCCTCAACATTTATTATGCTCTTCACTTTCTAAAATTGTCGAGGCTTCTTGAGCATTGACAGCATTTCCTGTTGGAGTGGTGGCGTCTTCAATAAATACAAAAGATCAGATTGTATATTTCCTAATCTTTATTGGTGGATGAGAGCTGTGTCGCTCGTATAAAGTGTATTGAATATGTATATACATATGAACAGAAGTGTCAATACCAGGATAGGCAAGTGACGAGAGCCAACGGTTGTACTATTAACAGAACGCTGTTAATTGACATCAACAGAGTGCTGTTAATAACACAGCCGGGCTATGTGGGGGAGGAGCAATCCTGTTAATGGGATCTGGCATTAACATACTCCCCCCCTTGCAAGGATTGCAAACTAAGACGTCGTGTCGAAGCTGGAGACCTCTTGGTGTGCGGATCAAGGTCGTCAGCGGAGCTGTGACCGCCTTTCTAGGAGTCGAGGCGGAGTGACGTGCTGATCCCTGGAGATGCAGGAGCGTGTGGTGATTCTGGCCACACGTTTTGCAACGTCCCTTGCTGCGGCAGGATTGCCCGGAGTGCTCGTGAGCCAAGCAGTTCGTACAGTACTTATGTGTAAGTACCGCACGCATCCGATTCTCCTCTGAAAGGCCCAGAAAACGCTGGCAATTCCGGAGACCGTGGGCTCCTGGGCACACGCGGCACTGGAAGGAATTGGTACCGCGTGGCTTGCTGCTTTCTGATGACGGCGTCTTTACCTGGAAGATCGAATGAGTTGGAGGCAGAATTACTTGCTCGTTAGAACACAACGTGGAGGTTAGTTTGACAGCACAAGGAGGATGAGGATCGGGTTGAAATGACGGGCCTGAATGAAGAATAGTATTCAGGCTGTCATTCAGTGCTGGACGGAGAGCATTGAAACCGACCCTCACTTTCGGAGTGGTGCTGTTTGGAGCTCGGAATGGAAGAGCTTCGTCAGATGATACGGTTGGCGGAGACTCAAGTTTCGCCTCTTCCGAAACAGAAACCTGAGCTGTGAAGGAGGAGACCGTTCCTGGTTTCATCTGTGAAAGTGGGCCTGTCAGTACCCAACCGAAAACAGTCTCCAGACCTATAAGAGGCCCGAAAATATTGGGGTGATAACCTC